TTAGTATCTTTAATTTGAAATTAATAAATTGAAAATTGCAATTAGTATGTCGAAAATTTAACGTAGTAACATGAAGTTTCAAGATATATGCATTTAAGGAAAAGTCCTATATAGATTTCCGTACAATATACGCAGACATGAAGAAATATCTTCTACACTCTGGATAATCATTTCCTCTTGTGGATGCATGCGCTCTGACTTCGATAACAATCTTAACACTGACGCTTTTTGCTTTGACACGATCAACAAACATTTCCTAACTATCTGCACCATCTGATACAAAAGTGTTACTCTACCAAAACAGTAGCATGACAACACGAGTTCCTCATTGAGTGTGTGATTATAGTTTTATACCAATACAGTATTCAAGCAATATTTTTAGCAGTATTCCAGCAATGTCACGGCGGGGGACTCCAAAATGAGCTTAAATTGTCACATTGTGACCATGTGGGAATCGAACCCAGGTCTTCGACGTGACGAGCGACGTCCCCACTGGACAAAAGATGTGAACTGATTACAGTGATCTACAGACAAGCGCATTAAGTAGATAACAGACAAATGTAATGTCGGTGATGACGATGTCTCCAAGTTCCACTAACCCAAAGGCTTCTTTTACAAAGAACATTTCGGGAGTATTCACCTACAGCGTATATTGAGACCATCTTAAAGATGGACTTCATTGACTTCCTTTACACATCCTGTTCTTCTCCTGTGCGGAATTAAATATTCTCTAGTCGGCGAGGGGAGCCGGTCATTTGTAGTTTGAGCTGGATTATCCAACATATCAATCAGGGCGGATCCAAAACACTTCAGGCCGATGCCGGTCCTTCTAGAAAGCCCTTTTCCCCAGACCACATGCACTATGTTTGTGTACAATGTTCACAACTGAAACATGTCTACGTACGGTTCACGGCTTCCATATCGGTCTGGAGTTCCCAAGTCCATTTCCGCTCCGTGTGCCTTGAGCTGTTTTCGGTCGAGTCCTCACTCTGTAACGCGTCTTTTTAGCCGACTCAGTGTTTTCGAGATCATCGTACAAAGAGGGATCCGGGACCCAGAAATATGGCCGTGCCTTCGTCTTCTTCATCCCCCAAGGGGCGTCAAAACTAGGCTCCTCCAGACGAGGGCCAAATAATGATTCATCAACGAAAGTAGGGGTGTGTCTCCATAGCTTGTGTTTGCTCTGAGTCGAGTTGGAATTTGTATTTTTTGTTTTATTACCGCAGTGGTTTGATACTATATTACCGTCTAGGCTCACTGACGGTTGCGGTGCCCACATGAGTGGTCTCCCTTTAGGTTTCATCAGTTGTTCCTCTGGGGTCTTCTTTTTATATGACCAGGGAGGTTTGAAGTTGATTTCTTCAGACAATCGACCGGGGTTATGTGATTTGAACAACGTTTCATCCACATTGGATTTAATTCCAACTGTATGGTAACCATAACGTCCACGAACGCTGGGAGCAGTGCGCGGCCGGAAGTCCGTCACGGATGGTGGCCTTGTACCAGTCAGAACGAGGCCTTTGTTTGACATCATGCGGGTGATGGAAGTACTATCCTGAAATCAAACCATCCATGAAAGAATTAAATTAAAATATTTTCAATAATCTTGACATACTGTCACACGTGGATTTCTTAGAAGTAAAGATGAATAATGGTAGATTCATCAATGTTTATTTTAGCTTGAAATTAAATGAACCTATGTATGTCACGAAGGGACCTAGGGTCATTATCGGGACGAATCACTTTCGAACTCATGATCATTGTATCATTGATCGGCTAGGGGACGTAACTCTACCCTTCCCAGCTAACAGTGGCGCCATGGACTACCCAATCGCCTTACCGTGTCCCTTCATTGACTCAATAAATGCATCGATTTTCACTCCATCATTTTAAGTGATACGAATTATCATGGTATCTTATTTTTTGCGACATCCGAACTATTTTAATTCGAAACTGTAGTATGAATGCCATAGGCATTAGATGATGTGGTGTTAAGCAATATTCCCTCACTCTCTCGACCACTAACCTCGACGTGGCCATATAACGCTTATATTACAAGGTAACTATGTTCCACGATCTGGTACCAATTTTTGGCAACGTTGTGATTTGTGACTTGTCTTGATTAGATGGGATAACCAACAACTGCTGGACTAATATATATGTATATATATTAAAAGTTCAGTTTACCATGTTTACAGGCAAAGGAAGTGATTAAGGAATCACTGTTGTTAACTGGGTTAGGTCTGTCTCCCTTTTAATGTGTCGTTAGTGGATGTGCAACGGATGCACTGTTTGTTTGTTGTTTAACCCTCTCATATTCCATCTATATGACAGCGGTTTGTACATAATCTTGTCTGGATCATTCAGTCCTGTGATTGATATCATGAGCATCGATTTACGCTATTCGGATTCGATGACATGTATCAACAAAAGTCAGCAAACCTGACAACACGGTCCCGTTAGTCGCTTCTAAGACAAACTTGGGCTGCTGAAGACTATTTCTAACCCCGATCTACACGGGGTGTATAGCGAGTGAAAACAAAATTATGTACATATGTCAGGAGAATGCAGATCACCTCTATTTTTCCATATATCTTTGTATACCATGCATCTGGAATTAGATTAGGATTTTCCTGTGAAGATAAATGTACTGTACGTATATTGATGAAAGGGATTTAAAATCTACATTTGTGCTTTACAATTTCCGACCAGTAAACGTATTTGTCAATTTAATACTTAGTTTTCATGGTGCATTTCATAACATAGAATCTAAAACCCAAGCTTCCGTGTGTTTAATTATATGTGTATATGTCACTAGATATATTCATGTTATTCGGGGAATGATGTTTTTTTTCCAATATTTGAGACTAAATTGACAGTTTTCCAATTGTATTTCCAAAGGTCATTAAATTACTGTCTTTATATCTTATTTATCCAAAGACTGATATACGTTTCACGGACAGTTTTTGTTAATAACAAAACGCTGTGACATTCGGTAAACGCTGCGTGGCCCCAGAAGGATTGGCATTTATTAATATCCGCGTCACACACACTGTGCAAAATATACACGACATCACGAAAATGTCTTCTAATTTGCTTAATCTAAACACAACAATATCATTTCTTCTTCATAACTTCTTTGAGTGGCAGTTGGTGTGACAAACAAGGGCACGTTCCTACTGGCAACAATATGAAGTTGTTTATCCATGCGTGTCATTTTTTTCCTCGTTCAATATCATTTGTAACGAGTTTCGGTACTCAAAATGACCTCGTACACGGAACTGTCGGTAATCTCGACCACAGTTTAGTTATTATTCTCGTACACGAAAAAAGGTTTCGTACACAGTTTAGGCAATTTTAATGGAAATATATACTTTGATCATTTGGAATAACAAAAATATTGGTCTTTTAAGATTTTAACATGCGTTTGCGTGGGTGTGGTATCATATTGACTACGTTTGTGTTCAGTTGAAAATGAAAACAGAATGTCGTTTTGAATTGTGAATAAAGATGAAATTTCGGTAGTATGTGTAACAATTTATATTTAAAATACAGGTAAAATGTCGGCATGCTAAAGTTCAACAAAGATTAATACCGTACTGTCAAGATAGTTGAGTTCATCCAAGTAGCAATGGACTAACAGAAATAAAATGTATGTAACAATTGAACAAGGATTAATACGGCAATGTCAGCTAGCGGAAAAGGTGATGCTATTAATTAGGCTTCAATAGGATAATTAGGTGGGAGACTGTGTACCTACGAAATAAAGTCATGAAAAGTCATATTTTTCATTGTGTCATCCTTAAACATGCCTATTATTATCATTTTTTGTGTGTACGGGTTTGTTTTGTTACATACACCTATTCTAACAATGGCCATGTATGCCAAGACTAGCGACTATGGACCAACTTATATGGAGTAATATTTAGTGGGCTGAAATATTCGTTATTTCACGTGTATTTTACAGTGAGGTAATACGATTTATAGGTTATAATTAGTAACATTCGATCCACTGAGTAATTACAGTTCTAGAAAGAAAATATACTCCTGGCATCGTGGATATGCGTCACTTCAAACCTGGCCAGATGACTCATTGTAACGGTGTGTTTATCCACAAAGGTTATCGTTTACATTTACATTCGGAGTGTCAAACATAATAGCTGTAACTGATATACGTATACCAGCATACATTTACAACTTCTATCAAACAAGCATGGACTCGAATCCTGTGCAAACGAAATTGCTTACATCGCTGAACAGAGATAAACTAAACACGATAGATATGAACCACGTTAACACAAATGTCATTACCATACTTGAAAAAAACAAAGCACCAGTGGTTGGTGTCAGTGATAATGTAAAGTAAAAAGGAATCTTACCTGTAGTTTATCAAAACATGGCCACGTCCAGGTATGTGTGAAACTGGGTCACGCTGACACACGACTGCGGTTTGTTTACAGATATCGTGTCATTAGCAACGCGCGAACACTAACGAAATTGCACGGTCAGCTGTAATGATCGGTCTTTTGCGTGTTGAAGAGAAGCTCCGTTAGATTATCATGAGTTCGAATTAAATACTCAATTATCCTCCTTTTCTTTTTGTCTAATTATGATAAGTTTAGACTGATTCGCCGCTTGTTGTGAATGGTGGCTTTGTGTAGACTGGGTGCTGTCTAGATGTTCGTCTTATTTCTATGGTGCTGAGGAGCATGCGCAGAATTGTCAAATAGTACAGTGGTCGTAGTCAAATCCTGTACTTATTTCACTCGTATATATCGCATACACTTGCTTTCGTGTTTATAATTGCATATATTTCATTTTCTGACAAAAGTATTGAAATTTAGAAAAGAATTGAAAAAAAGTACACAAAACAATTTACCCACAATGCATAATCAGGTGCGTGCTATTCAAGATGGCGTCGGCTTTTCTAATTGTTATTTCGAAGACGAAATAAATGCAAAATTCTCATGATGAGAAGTGAAGTTATAGGGTATGAAAAATGTTCTTTTGATTATTAAGAATCATGCACACACATTTCACGACAGATCAATCGTATAAACATTAATTATTTGACACAAATGTACGTTTCCGGGCACATGGTCTGCTTTGTTGTCCTCATTCTCGTGAGAAATAAAATAAACGTTCAGTAAACGCACTTAAGACGTATTTGTAACGAGACACTCCCATAAGATCATGACTAGTATGTCACTCGGAGCAGCATGCACGGCAAGATGGGTCGTTGTGTACGTTGCGACAGGAATTTATTCGTAGGTTTTTCAATTTTGTTGAGATCTAGATTACAAGCTAAAGTATTTGAGCTTACCTTTCGGCTAAGATTTACACTGAAACACAACACTTTGCATTCTTGTTTAAGTATATACATTGCATGGTTACAAGATGTATTTATGTTCTTGTCTCATTTAACCATTGGTTAGGTGAGAATATATATAAATGACAAAATATCTGATCTTAAAATCTAGTCACCCACCTGATTTCCAGTGTGAACTGTGAAGATTCAGAGGTATTTCAGTATGGAGCCTAACCACAGTCGGTGACTTTTGACAATAGCTAGAAGCCCAGGTCTAGCAATATTTCTTTATGTCTTGTGTGCTGTCCTTATAAATATCCATACATTTGAATCAAGATCTACAGGAATGAAACAAAACACAAGTAACAAAATTGGACTAGTAGATTCAAAGTGGTTGGCACAGACTGTAACCATCGTTTTAAAGTTATCTATTGAAAAGATAGGAAATAAATGTCGGACAATCTAGAAAAGGGTCAGCATGTTTAATAATTGCTTATGATGTTATATCAAAACATGTTAGTTATCTATTTTGAGTTTTTATCCACACTGACAATGTCTGAACTAATGTCTCATATCATTCATGATTGCTATTAATCTTTTGTGGGATTTGCACCCTACCCACAAAAGGTCCACAATAATCTTGACTATTTTGCAGGCAATATCAACTATACAATGGACTTGGGTGAAAATGGTGAGCAGATAAAGAAAATAAATAATAATTTATTGGAGGTCCGTCCATTCGTCCATCCGTCTGTTTGTCCTGCTATTCCATACCACACTGGCATCTGAGGGTAAGGGCTTTCAAGCCTAGTGTCCGTCTGGCTTGTCATAGCCTTACGAAGAAGAGTGCTTTTTTCATGGCATTGCAAAAGGCTACCAAGCTGTCTAACTTCAGTATTGTCACTTTCATGCACATGATAATCATGTGACTTCAGCTTTTGAAGGTTGATGTTCAATGACATTTTCTTGATTGGGTTATTGAGTTACGTCTTTTGTTTATCAACAAATAGCTGGGATTCGATCATGGGATTCATTTATTTGTACACAATCAGTATGTGAAGTGTCAATACCAAATTTCAACCTGCCGAGATGAAGCATGTGGAAAACATTTCAAATTGGCCCATCTGCATGGAATGAATGTAACCACTGGTTTTCAACCATAAAATACTATAATCAAAGTGATTTGAACATGTTGAAGATGAATCTTTTTCTCTTGATTCTTGTGGACTGAAAGATGAAGATGGTTTATTTGGTCACTGCTGGGAACATGGATAGATTACATTTATAATCTTCTTCTATTGAAATATAACAACCAATGAGCACGCAGGTTGAGCAGTAGCGATGATTCTGTGTGAGCTAGTTACCTTCTGTATGTATTCCACTAACAGTGAATTGGTCATGGCGCACGTCTCCATATAGTATGGCCTCAGTTCTCAGAACTTTGGCCTCAATGTTCAAAGCCCAGGCACTATGGTGATCTTACATTGTCATTCATGGTGTTAAAAAGCTTTATTGAGTTAGCCTTTTAGGCTAATTCATGACACATTAGTACTAAGTTCAAGTCTATTGTAGTATAATTGATAGAAACATGAGCACATGACCGTGAAGATAGTGTATTTCCCCAGTGAGAACAAAATATAGATGTCTTTAGTTCTGTTCCATTCAAGATTTTTTAGTGCCATTACAAAGGATACCATCCCAGCTTTCTTGTTATATTCCAAATTGACAAGGCAATACAGATATCTTCATAGAAAATGTAAAGGACTTATCTGCAGGTGATACTGTTCTGGTTTTCTATTAATGTATACATTTCATTTTTTGTAAAATAGTTATTTTGGCATTTTCATCTTTTGAATTCAGGTACCACTCTTTTGGGGGACAAACTTCCATATATTTCAGTCATGGATATGTGTAGTAACATGCTTGTCCAAGGATATGTACAAGAAAACAACGATAGAAAAAACACTATGTCATTGAACATTTGCCTATATGCCTTACAGTTAGCTACAGTTTGTTTCCTGATTTCCCTTTAAATATGACCACAGTGCAATGGAGTATACAATTCAAATAATTTATTATTAATATGATTCTATGTGCATGCAAATTTTCATGTGTTTTGGACAACCAAAGACATCCTCTACATTTGAAAGACTTAGATGTCAACAAAAGCATCACTTCCAACAACCAATCCTGGTCAAAAGTGACAACTTATTTGGATTGGGAAGTTCGACTCGGTGACTTGGTTGATTTCATGTCATCGTACCCTGGGGCATGGATCATTGCATATAATATCCATCACTGCATTGTCTGGTCCAGATTTGATTATTTACAGACTGCCATGATGTGGCTGGAATATTGCCAAGTGTGGCATTAAAAACAAAAACTTAATATGGATTCCTGGAGATTTCTGAATCATGTCAATTGGCCAGGTCCTTCATGCTTGTTGTCATGGCTATGGGAAGACAGAAAAGTGGGGATCTTGTGACCTCCACATTGGCTGCAAGGACTGGCCACGAGTAGGTTATGGCAAGTGACTACCTTGAAAACGGACTATTGCCTGGCTGATGCAGTATGTCATTGTATTTCAGTGACCTTGATATACATTCGAACTATCAGTAACTAGGATATTTGATCTATGCACGTTAGCATGCTGTGGCTGAAATATTGCTATGAGGCATAGTTTCTGATCCGTCCATTTCTTTGCATGACAGGCCAATGTATACTCAGGTAACATGTTTTCAAGAAATCTTTTGTTAGTATGATTAACAGTTTGTATGAGCAAATGGGATTATGTTTTGTCCCTCGTAAATGTACCTTAGGTATGTATCTAGTCATAGCTGAATTGATAAATACATGATTTCTAGACTGATACATCTGTTATGTACTTATTGATTCTTTTGATTGTTTCAGATGCCTTCGGGCTCCAAGAAGTTTTGCCAAATTTGTCACAGTCGGCTTAAGCTCTACCAGATCAACTTCAACGAAGCTATCCAGTTGTGTGAGAACAAGGCTGTAAGTACCACAACAAGTTGCGTGTAGATAACAAATACGAAACAGTAGATCTGCTTATTCTATTCAACATGTTTATTTGCCAGTGTCCCTGTTGGGATTCTTGGGGTAGGATAGGTCCCCAGTTACCTATACTTGTCGGTGGATGGATCAAAGTGGATCTGGTCAGGTTCAGTGACTTGGTTGATTGCGCTTCATAGCTCCCCATGGCATGTTGTTCATAGTATCAATTACTGGTCAAATATTTCCCCATGTTTTTGTAAACTACCTTGTCTAAGAATGTGTGACCTGTCTGATGGTGTGTATTGTTGATCATGCTGCCTGTCATGGTCTGCCTGGCCTGGATTCATTTATTTACTGACTGCTTTCATGTACACAACAATCACTCAAAGAGGAATGTAAATCTTACAGAATAATTCCAGCTTCCAGCATAAAGTCATGATACAACCAATACAACAGAAAAGTTAAGTAAATAACTTCTTGATACTTCAACATCGGCTATAGAATATATTTTGATCAATATTGTTTCTCTGTTTCAGTGTTGCTTTCCCCTGGAGTCCCCGACTGGAAGTATCAGTATACAGCCCCGAGACCTCTCCCATGTGCCAGTCCTGAAACGGAAGTCCACTTCATCCAGGAGTGTCAAGTCCTCTTTCTCTTCACCTTTTGGGACCCCAACTGTTCTATCTCCCACTTTCTCCCTGCCGCCCTGTGGACCGTGGAAATTGCCAGAATTGGGAACAGAGGGTGTTGAATTCCCCTTCGTTGACTCAGCACATGAAAACAGCGTCACCCCTGTGAAAGCAGCAATTTCCTGTTTGAATGGGAACACAGAAGAACTTGACCTTGAGGGCTTGCTAAACAGTGGTGCTTTTGATGAACCTGTGAAAAGTGATAACAGCTTGTGCATTTTGAAAGATTTCAAAGAACCTCCTCCTTTAAAAACTCAAAATCCTCCTGCTGCAGCAGTTAACAATGGACTTAGCTCAAACTGTAGTGATTTCACGAATAAATATGTCAGCAAATCTTCAAAGGGTGTATCCAGAAACCCATTTGATGAACTCTTAGTCGCTTTTGATGAAAATACCAATGTGTTTCCTTTTGACACTGAATTGACAATTGGTTTGACTACAGATGTCTCAAATGGATTTGGTTTGCAGGAGTTTACGAATGGATTGAGGTTCCATCAGGAAGATGCTCATATATCAGATAAGGAACTGAATATTGTCAGTGCCAATAAACTTAATAGTTTTCATGAATCAGAGAATTCACTGGATGCAGAAGTGAGAGACATATTTGAATCTAGTAAATTGATATTTGAGAAAAACAATTTGTGGAGGTGTTTCTCAAAAGACAAAATGATGGCCCCCATTAAGGATAACGAAACAGGTGTAACTGAGGCTAAGCAGGAGTCAGCTGGCGAAGACACTGTAAATGCAGGTACAGAACAAGATGATACTTGTAATATTCCAGGTGAAAATGTGACCTGTGAATCTGGAATCCTGACTGGCAGTGCTGGTGCCCTAGAGGGTACATGCGAGTCAGGGAGGGAGGAACTCACTCCGGACAGTGTTCATAATGGGGAGAACAATCATACTCAGCTAGAGAGTAACATTGTGGACCAGAATCCTGTTATGGAGCCAGCTACAGCTCCGAGCATGGACAGTCAGTGTGAAGTTCCAACAACTGTTGGAGAAGACATGCCAGTGTCTGTGTCAGATGTCCAGGTAACAGACCAACCACCAGTAGAGCTTATGGAATATCAAGAACAAGAAGACATTCCTGAGCATATAAGCAATGACAATCTAGAACAGGAGTTTGTTCTGCCAGAGAGTCAAAGGGAGCAGGATTCTCCTGTAGTCCAGGAACTGACAAACCCTGAAGCTTTGATGCATGTCGATAATTCAGAGGAAAACCCAGATGTAGATGAGTTTGATCAATCAAGTGTTCAAGCAATGGAGACTGTCCAGATTGTGCCTGAAGCGTTTTCTGTACAAATAGACACAGTTATCCAAGAAGATCCTGAAGACAGTCACACTGGAACAGATTTTCATGGAGAGCCAGAAGTAGTTGCTGCTTCTCTGGATGATGTTAGCAACACAGACGGCACAGCAGAAAGTATTCAAGTTGCTGGTGAAGCATTCAATGACAACTCACATGGTTCTCCTGAAGTCAAGGAGGACTCAGCAACAGATGCACAAATACAGGATGAATCAGTTGAGTCTGAAACAGTTGTTGCAGAAGTGGTGGACTCTGATGTTCAGGAGACAAATATGGACCAGTTTGAAATGCAAGTTGTTCCTGAAACAGGGGAGAGCATAGTTTTGGAGGAACCATGTCACACAGCTCCTGATAATTCTGATATTCTGTATGAGCAGGTGGAGCTTGAATCTACAGTGATCAGTGAACAGGGAGGTGTAGATATAGCTGAACAGGAGGTTACCTCAGCAGCACTGGAGGATCAGGATACAGCTGCAATTACTGTTAACACCACTTATGTTGAAACAACAGTAACAGGTGAAGAGGAAGATCCAGGACGAGGTGACAGTGTCTACCCATCTGTTGATCTACAGAATAGTTTTAGAGCTGTACAACTCCCCACTGCTGTAGTCGCTACAGCTGATGCTGATGAATGTGGGGGTGAAGTGACATCAGCCACGGCAACAGTTGTCTGTAATGATGAGTTTTCTAAATCTGATGCTTGTGAAGAAAGTCAAATTGTGAATGCTGGACAATTGGTAGGCATGAATATAAACATTCAGGCTCAGAATGAGACAGAGTTGGTCGGTGGTGAAACTGTTGTTGGTACAGCGGAAAATATGTTTGTAGAAACATGTGAGACATTCATAGCTGCTGGTGAAAGTTTGCAGGCTGAAGCAGGCGTTGAAGGCACAACAGACTCCACTATACCAACTGTGAGTGTTCAGACTGTAGAGATACCTTGTGAACAAACCATAGTAGCTTGTGAACAAACCATAGTAGCTTGTGAACAAGCCATAGTAGCTTGTGAAGAAGAAGTAGCTATTAATCACACAGTCATTGAGCCAGGCAGCACAGAAGCTATTCAAGAACAGTGTGCAGATATCCAGGATGGGACTGACGTCGTGTCATCCTCATCAGTGATTGTGACTCAAGGTATGAGTATCATTACTGGGAACTTGGAAGAGTCGGCTGTGACTGGGATAGCTCCACAATCATTTGAATACTCAACAATTGGTCAGATTTCAGAAACTATTGTTGATGCTCAGCCCTTTCAGACGATAGAAAATGTGCCTATCTTAGAACACGAGGTGTCCGAGGCTTCCAAACCACTTGTTGCCACGGAGATGCTGACTGCTGATGAGATGCAGCAGCCTATTGAAAGCTTCATGGAAGAGACCGTGGAGAGTGTTCCAAGTCAGGCACCCGATGAGATGATGTCCGAAAATGCTCCTCTCTCAGAACATGATCAGATAACACAGGCTGTTGTGAACAATACTGGCATGGAAGTTGCAGACCATCAAGATTTACAGCTGGAAGAATTTGTAGTTCCTGTGTCAGAACTAACAGGCTCTGCTGGTGGAGTGGTTGAGAATCAGGTAGTGAGTGTCCCACTCGAGCTTGTATCATCAGAGATGCAAGGTGCCGATTCCGAGGCTCCCATATCTTATACTGAGACTATGATAGGAGTCGACCATGTTGTTGTCAATCAAAGTGAAGGGTTATTCTCTCAGGAGGGCTCTGATGAAATCATGGATGTTCATCAAGCCGGCCTCCCTAGTCAAAGTGAAGTTGATCACAGTCAAGGCTTGTCTGAGAACATGATACTGATGAACAAACAACATTTAGTGGATACGAGTGTCCACACTGTTCAGCCAAACACAATTATTAATATGCCAGTTTCCAACCAAAGTGGTATTTTTACACTAGCATCTCAGACAATGCCAAATGTTATTTCATGTCCAGTAATATCGACATCTGTTCAAGAACAGCCATCGTCCCATCTGAGCAGTGTATCTGAAGTGACATTAACAGAAGCTCAGACAATACAGAAGGTTCCGGTCCTGGTCAGTGAATCCTCCTTAGCTTCATTGCCTGGATTGACAGCTATGACTTCTCCATGTCCTGAAGGACAAGACTCTGTCTCAACTGCAGTCCCCACTGTAACAGAGCAGGACCACACTACCCAGGGAGTTGTTAGTCACTCCATAATTCCACGGTTAAATATGCTGAAATATATATCAAATGTTACATCAGCTGCACCAAAGCAACCAGTTCGACTCGGGGAAATTGCTGAGGCAGACCTTGGACCAATAACTCTTTTGGATAAGAAGTGTCTGAACTTGTTTGTTCAGTGGCAAAACAAAGATGCCATGTGTTGGCTTGATGTGGTGATGATAGTACTTTGTAACAGTGTGACTATTCAGAAACTTTTCACTGATGAGAAGTCTGCAGAGTCGGTGAAGGACAGTGTATTAACAACACTGCTTAAGGCTTATTACCAAGCTCAAAGTCTCATGCAAAAGCTCACTGCCAAAGAACAGGAAGATCACAAGGAAGCAATTGCGGAAAGTTTGGCCAAAGAATCACAGCCTGATTCAGGCAAGGCTGATACTGTCCTACCAGCTGGTGAAAGCGCCAGCTCCACATTTGCTCAGAATGGAGAGAGTCTGAAGCCCGACAATACAGTGGAACCTGATACTGAATCCCCAGCCGTCAAGAGTACACCCACTGATGCTCAAGGAACTGGTGACACTCAACAAACACAATCAGAAACACCCACCCGAGTCAGCAGAATCTCAATAAAGAGTTTAACTGAATATTCCAAAGCTATGGACATATTGGACAACATTAGAGAAAATATCTGGGACGTTCTGCAGCCCAGATTGCAGTGTGTAAGAGGCAAGAATGACAGTCCGCTATTTGCCTTGCCTCTGCTTGTGAGAGAGCCAGCAGTGCTGAAGGAGAAATTCAAGATCAAATACAAGTACACCTTCACCTGTGATCAGTGCTCCTACCACCAGGACGATGAGCATTCCAAGATACTGCCCTCCTTCCCACAGGTGCCTGCAGATTTTAACATGAAGGAACCATGCTTTGTGAGAAACTGCTTCCAGTGCAGCGCTCCTGGGAAGAGGATGAAAATGACTTTCAAGAGGTAAGTTATCTTTGAGTCATTAAAGAGGATTAGCTGATATTTTATTTTTCAGGGAGCTGCAAATTTTGTTTCAAGGGAGAGTTGAAGATTACTCATGAGAAGTTTTTATCCCGTCAGCATATGATGTGGATGGATATATAGTCTTCATGTGGTCTGTCTGTCTGTCCATCCATATTTTGTTTCTAGAGCACAACTTGAAAACTGTGTCATCCAAATTTGGTACTTGTTTAATCAGGGGCTGAAGTGGTGCCTTTTGCTATTTAGGGATTTTTCAAAATTTAATTATTCTCTGTTTCAATGGAAACTAGTTAGTCTTTGACTCTGTTCATAGTGGTGGGTTTGTCCTGACAAAAACTCTAAAACTAATAGGTCCTCTTTCTTGAAACTGTGCACTCACCAAGACCAGGTTGACAACTGGTGCCCTTTGCCTTTTTAGCCGTGTTTAGAATTTTCTTTTTTTCCTTTACATGGCAACAATTTTGGCTTATAGTGGTGGTTTGTCTGGACCATATCTCTAAAACTAGTATCTATTCTTTCATGAAACTGCACGCACAAAGACCAGAGTGTGAACTGATGCTTTTTGCTAGTTAGGGATTTTTAGAATTAATATTTTTTCTGTTTCCATGGCAACCAGTTTGACTTTGGTTCTGTTCATCTTGGTGTGTACCTGACAGAAATTCAAAGTTACAAATCTCAATTTCATGGTCTTGTTTTGATAGCTCAATAACTACACTTGTATGGCGACAGACAGATTAGATAGAAATTCTCTCATCAAGTTGTACATCATCATCTGATGACTCTTTTTTAATACTTATTATGTAATAGCATATGACTTTGCAGGTTAAGTTGTTCAATGAATTGTGTCTGTATTTTTAGCAAACCTAAGTTATGTAAGTAGTTCTGCATCTTATTATTTATGAATGTTTATTGTACTTGCAATATTTTGCTTACATATAAAGATATCAACTGATATATTTCCGGAATCTTAACTTGTTTAATGCAGCCTATGTTTGTATACGTCCACTTCATACTTATGCTTGTGTGTTCTAGCATCCCCGATATACTGCTGCTCCACTTCAAGGAAGGGCTGCCTCACAGTGGCTTTGACCAGCTCGGCTTTGTGTTTGGAGCAGATGTTTACACAGTGACAGCTGTCATACAGTACAAGAACAACCCTGATCACTTTGTGGCCTGGATCAGGAATGGCACAGGTAAGACTGCATAGAAACTAGCATATAGATATCTGAAAACAATAAAAAAAATAGCTCACAAGAACCATAGGTCAAAGTGAACTTACAGTTTTGTCCATCGTACATCCATTAGCTTTCAACATCTTCTCCAAACTTACTGACAGGATGAACCTTTAGACTTTACTCTTAATTTTTTTAAATTAAACAGATACAGTGTTATAAATCTGCATGGAAATGAAATATTTAGTTGTTAAAAATATTTCTCAGCTCAGTGAAATAACAGTATAAGCAAAGGTAGCTGTATTTTATTGTAGCACTTATTATTAATGACCTACGAACAATTCATACAAGTGTCATTCTATAATTAGGATGGGTTTAGACATTGCTATGAACAATGATGATGACAGCGCAGTCTTACCTTTCTCTACATGTTGTTGCTATGAACAGTGATGATGACAGCACAGTCTTACCTTTCTCTACATGTTGTTGCTATGAACAGTGATGATGACAGCACAGTCTTACCTTTTTCTACATGTTGTTGCTATGAACAGTGATGATGACAGCACAGTCTTACCTTTCTCTACATGTTGTTGCTATGAACAGTGATGATGACAGCACAGTCTTACCTTTTTCTACATGTTGCAGGCAACCAGTGGATGGAGTGCGATGACCTCAAATCCACGCTGTGTCAGTATACCACAGAGTTACCAGCTATTCCACCTAATCAGGTCCACATCATTATGTGGGAGAAGAATGTTCCGTCTCATAATGCAGCCAGAGATCTGGTCGAGACCCCAATGGCCAATGTTCTGCACTCATGTGTTCGTATCATGCAGCCGGACTTCCTGTCAGGAAGTAACGTGGTGCTGTCAGCCAAAGAACTATTAGCTCGTGGTTTGAAACGTAAAGCAGAGGTCGCAGGTCAGAATACTGTAAAGTATATCCTGTCCCAAAGCACAGGACGCAGTCTGCCCGGAATTCTGACTCTTCCAGCTGGTTCCAGTCCTGGAGGTGTGCAGACAATGAAAATAGTGTCCCTCCCACCAACTAGCTCAGCACCAGGAGTTATTACCAGTGCAGCAGGGTTGCCCGGACTTAAGGCGGTTGCTACAGCACCTTCACAGATCCTGACAAGTGGTCAGATTTTACAAGCAGCTGGAACTTCAATTAAACCGATAATCTTGCAAAGTAAAACCAGACCAACCATTCTGTCCAACACATCCTCTGTGGCATGTAATGCACCTGGGGTATACCAAATTCTGCAGAAGAGTCAGATGACATCTTCTCCAACTGCCAGTCAGACTTCACTTCCAACAATGATGAAGGTGGTGCAGAGTGGGAATAAGCTTGTGTGCCTTCCAGCTGAGAAACATGACACTCAGGGCACAACAGTTGTGAGTGAAAAACAGTTGACCTCGGGTTCAATCATTGTAGGAAACCAGCGTTTAATTCTGCCTCAGTCTCAAAATGTACCAGGACTGCAACCATCTCTTCTTACTGCCAGTGCTGGCACTCAGCCCAATTTGCAATATATTCAACTGGATAAGTCCCAGTCTCTTGTGACAAGTTCAGCCAGTGCTGGCAGTTTGCATGGAACCTCAGCCCAGGCCGGCAAGCTGCCAGTCATCTCAGCATTGAAGGATGGACAAGGCACTACTACTCTTCTTGCTCAACAAGTGGGTGGTATGGCCAAGACCTATACTGTAGGAGCAGATGGTATCCTTCAAGAGATAGACAGGGATGCTGTTGGTAACGAATCCTCTCCGATCAAGAAGCAAAGAGTGACTGTTCTTCAAGGATCTCTGCCATCAACGCCCAGCATGTCTGGACCTAAAATCATAGTGAAGAAGAAAACTGAGAGTGGGGAAATAGTGGAAAGTGTTGTAACTGATCTAGACCAGCAACAAAGTAGTGACTTTATGAAAGCAATAGAAGCATTGAAAAGTGGGGACACGCAAGCTGGGACTCTCATCCAGCAGCTTATAAAGAGCAAGATGACCAACCAACCACAATCTTTTAGTCCAGTGTTGTCTGATGAAGGCCTGTCTTCATCAGACACTGGGGCAATGAAGGTAATCAGTGTTAAACCAGCAACACAAGCAATAGGGCAACAGACTGTGCCGATGCCAGGTGGTAGTGTCATTAAGAAATATGTTCAGGTTGGTGACAATACGATTCAGGTGAAAAGTCAAGAAATGTTGCCTGTCATAGAGAGAGGCAGGGGAAGAGGACGTGGAAGAGGGAGGGGAGGCAGAAAACAGAAAGATCCTCCTCGGCCTGGACCAAGTATAAATAATCAGACCTCTGCAGAGACACCAATAGACCTCACATCCTTGCAGAGCAGCCCAGAGGCCATGAGAGCTGTCACATCAGAACCACAACATATTGTCATTGCATCACCACCAGGACAGACTATTCATTCTGGAATCAAATTAATAGGCAGCCCAACCTCCCAAGGAAATATATCTACATCTAAAGTGATCAAACTCTTGGCAGGGTCTTCAAAAGATACTCAACTTATTGGACAGTTGGCAGCTAGCCAAGCCGTAGTTAGCAGTGCTTCTTTGGTGTCAGGAAGACAGATTCTGCCTCAAGGACAAACAGCCACTTATGCTGGTACTTCTTTGATATCTGGACAAAAGGTAATACCTCACTCAGTTGTCACATCCGTGGGCTCAGTGGCTTCTTTGATATCTGGTCAGAAACTGATTCCCCAAGTTCACACATTGGGTACAGCCTCCGGGTCAGTTTTAGTGTCCCCTGGACCACAGGTGATACCTCAGGTACAGACAGTGACATCGCCTCCTCCTGTTACTTCCATGATGGCTGGTCAGAAAGTATTATCTAAGGTACCAACAGTGACAGCTACTGCAGGAAAGAAGGTCACAACACTATTGGCAAGTCATATTAACCAAGAGGCAGTCTTCAAAAAGAATATTGCAAATCCTGAACAGAAAGTCATGCCAGGGAAGAAGGGGTTGCAAGACAAAAGGAAACCTGTGCTGTCTTCGGAAAAGTCAAGCCCAGTGAAATTTTACTTTCCTTCTGGTAAACCTATACCTTCAAGCCAGTCGCCTGTTGGTACGATATCACAAACATCTCAGCCTACGGCCTCTAGTCCAGCGACTCAGCCTATAAGTCGAAGTATAACAGGTGCAATGCTTACACCACACAAGACTATATCGGTTGTTCCGAATACCCCATCGTTGCAGCCAGTCACATCATTAATAAATCAGCATCCACAACAGAGAAATGAATCTCAGATCTCTAAAGGAAGCCTGTCTTCACCAACATCTCCTCCAGCAGGAGCTTCAAGCCTGTCCCCAAGATCAACTGTTGATGCAAGTCAATCCCCAGGAGGGTTTTCCCCTGGTGCAGATGTTGAGCTGATGTCAGACTCAGATGGGTCCACTTCTCCAACTAAAATGCCAACCCGTGGTCCTGTTATCTCAGTGCGTGGAGCACAAGGTGATGCTGCATTACTTGCCAAAGCTATTCAAGATTTAATGAAACAAGGGGTGACTATACAACAAATACAAACACCAGGGTTCCTTTCCAAGCTGCTAACCACAATGAAATCTTCAGCTCACCCTGCAACAGCCCCAGAGGGGGTTACTGCAAAGAGTCTGATTCAGACAACACATGGGACAAAGAAACCAGTTCCAGCTGTTGCTAAGTCTCAGAAACCGAAGACAATTGTGAAGTCCCCATCACATACAGTAACAAGCAAGTCTGCAGATTCTTACGAAGTGTTGCCCAAACCGGCCATGGGCAACATGGCTGCCACACAAATAGGAACTGTGGGTGCTGGTGCAGTAACCAGTCCAGGTTCAGCCTCAGTTGAAGCGATGTCACCACCTAAGCTAATATCACTCTCTGAAGAATCATCAAGTGATTCTGATTTAACAACAGCTAAGTCAGCAGTTATTGTGAAACCTGGACAATCATACCTAGCTGCAGTGAAACCATTTCTGAAACTGAAACCAACTGAACCTGTCAACCAGTCTGTGTTTGATGGATACAAGTTAAAGTCGGGGACAGTTACGAGTACACAAACAAAACCTGTCAGTGGGTTTACCACTATAGACATGCAGAGTGACCAAGTCCAGGGCACGGATGGCAGTGCCAACACAATGCCCAGTCCTGTGATTACTCCAGTCCCAGTAGTTGCATCTTCATCCACGAGTCAAATTACTTCAACTAGTCAGGACTCTGTGAAAGCAGTAGAAGCTTCACAGCCAAGTCAAACAGTCACATCTTCTCCAGAAGGAAAAGCAGTGAAAACAACAGCCAAATCCAGCAAAGTCATTAAGGCTATAACCCCAATTAGAATGCTACCAATGACGTCTCCTGAAATAAAAGCAGCTGTAAAAAGGTCTATAGTAAAAACTGATGTTTCACCTGGAAAGGTTACAAAAGGACCTTCAGAGGTAATGGTAGTTGAAATTCCTACAGCTGGTAAGAGCAAGAAGTCCAATCCACTAGATCTGATTGCTGATGCTGCAATATCCCGATTAACTGTTCAGAAGGACTCTGATACTGAAACACTCCCTGAGATTTCTGTGCCATCAAAAGGACGAGGCAGAGGCCGTGGTAGGCCACCCAAAAATGCTGCTCGTAATCAGACTCCAAAGACAGATTTGGTTCAGGCTGCTGCTAATCCTGAACCAATAAATACCAAGAAAGGTCCAGATCTTTCAGGACCAACAAAAAAGACACCAGGGCACAAAAGGAGCTTCATGGATGCTTTTGAGCTACCAGTGGTGACAGACATGTTGACAGATGAAATTCCCAATTCATCTCTGTCCACACCTGTCCCAGAAGCCACCAAGGATACTGTTGTGGAGGATGGACAATCTACTGCAGCATTGAATCAAACATCCCCTGTAAGCTATGGAACACCCATAGGAAAATTACAGAAGCTCAATCCTGGTTCAATAGATCTTGTTACAATTGCTGATACACCCAGAACTAGAGGCAGGCCACGCAAGCAAGCGACAGTGCCATATGGCACAATAACACCCAAACCACCTGTAGGAAGAGGTAGATCTCAACAGCAGTCACCTTCTGCAGGAAAAGGTCCTAGACAGTCATCTGATTCTTCAACTGTTACAGATTCTCATACTCGGATGTCACGAAGACAGTCATCAGAGGAAATGGTCAAGTTAGACACTCCAGAAACTAAACCTAGAGGACGTCCTCGGAAACAGTCAACAGATACAAGTGATAGGACACCTGCTGAGTCTCCCGCAGAATCCAAACCTGTTGGCAAAATTAGAAGACAGTCGTCTGATGCTAGCAAAGAAGTAGTTCAAACACCCAAAGAGAGTCGAGGGAGAGGGAGGCCTCCTAAGGTTGTGCACACTTCAAGTCCTGATACATCCCAACCTAGAGGTAGACCTCGGAAACAGTCGCTATCACCATCTGCCAGAGCCGATAAAACATCAGCAAAACTAGCAGCTGAAGATGGACATGCAAACATGTCTGAAAACAACTCGAAGTTGGAACCCACTGAAGTCAAGTCCACCTCGGAGATACTTGTAGTGTCAGAGGTTAAGTACATTGGCAAGTACAAGATCCATCCGATTGAGAGACCCAATACCAGGCGGTTTAGAAACCCTGGTAAGACAGAAGAATCGCCATCAAAGCAAACTGAGAAGGAAGATAACATTACAGCTGCAAAGAATGATGCTGAAAAGCCAACTAAACGACGAGGACGACCACCAAGCAATCCAGCAAAGAAAGCTAAGAGAGAGTAGATACAAGAGCACTCTGTATCCAGTGAAGTTATGGGCGATTCCACTTAAGGTGAAAGAAACAAAGTCTGAATTGATGGGGATATCTTTCATGTGCTACAGACAATTTTGCACTAAAACAGATGTTTTCAAATCATATGGACCGGATGCCTTTAACATGTGAAGTCTGAGAGTTTTGTCCAGCAATAGAATGTTCTGAATGTGGTAATAGATTTGAGGCAGTTACACACATGCTGCAAATGTTTGCATCAGTGTTGACATCACATTATATATATATGGTCTGATACTGTACATATGTATATGAAATCTGGGATGTGCATTGTGTGTTAATGAATTATGTGGGACGTCATTCCACAACTAGTATGCCATCTTTACCACTGTGCAAGGTGGAAGAAGATAACTGGAGCATCGGGCATTGATATTTTACAAAATGTAATATCAATAATTGTTCAAATTAAAATCACATTAGACAATAATCTGAAAATATTAATTGTAACAGCACATTGAGATTATTGTGCGTTTGTTTATACTCTTATTAAGGATTATAACACTTAAAAATCCTCAGAAATTCCTAAGAATTCAAGAATGCTTTTACTTGTGGAATTGCATGAACAGTTTAAAATCTCACTGGTCATAATTTGAAATGTTGCAGTTCATTGCATGTTATCATTTGATCATTCCAGGAGCCGAATCAGTTGGCTTTAAATACGTCTTGTAGTATGACATAGTTGTTATATTGTCCACCATGAGAGAATGTTCATAAATGATGTGCTCCTGATGCACAATATATAGCACATCCGGGGCATTGATGATTTCATTGATGTGCAGTTTCTCGTTTTGTTTAGTATTTTCTTTTAGTATAATGCGAACATGTATAATCAATTACTTGCCGACTCATTGTGTTGCATATGGTGCTTCAAGTCATTTACAAGCAATTTTTATGACACTTAAAGATAGAGCTTGTGAATGTTACACATGTATTGAAACATTGTACATCAAGTGTAAATACACATCTACATTCACAGCTCATGCACTATATCTATACCTATGTGTAAAGCAGTTAAGTCGGCCTGAAGTCAAGTACTTCATGGGAAGAGATTTTGTAAATACAACTTGACAGTGGCATTATGAATTTATATTTTTGTTCTGTTAAATGTTCAAAATGTTTATAAACATGATTTATGAAAGAAAATTTGTGTTTGGTGTAATTATTTGATTATCCTGTGTGACCAAGTGGTGATTACTACAGTGTTATTTGTGAAGACTGTTTTGGAGCATCACTGGGGCATCACTGGGGCCACAGGTGGCCTAGTCGTCTTATGGCGCCACAGTTTGAGGGAGCCTCATCTCTTAGATGTTCCAACACCTAAATTCCAGATTGGTCCGAATTGTTTCTAGGTTTGTCATCACCGTATTTGTGCTGATGTGTTTTACAAAAGTTTACGACCTGCATCATTTTAAGCTGACACATTGATAATGATATAACTGAAATGCTGTTCAAAGAAGTTAAGGCATTGGCTTGTCTTGCTGAAGACAAGTTGATTCCTCAAATGGGATGAGTGAGTATAGTTTTACGCCGCTTTTAGTATTAATCCAGCAATATCATTGTTGGGGGGAACCAGAAATGGGCTTTGTACATTGTACCAATGTGGGAATCAAACCCTGGACTGCTTTAACCACTAGGCTACCTTACCTCCATATGCGTGGAATGAGTGCAGCCTTTTACTGGTGCCATTCGTACAGTCCTTCTTTGGCATTGCTGTAGATGTAGGGACTGAACGCCAGATTGCTGTATGTACTCATGTGACGTAACATCTGATTCCACATGAGTGAATTACACGGTTGAAATACACTCCCACTCATCCCATACACATCTACTTCCACTGGACGGCAAGTTAGGAGATGACTACCGGTATATGAAAACTAAAAGACCATGAAAGATATCTTAACCAAACTTGGCACATAGATAGGTCTTGTGGTGAACTGGTACCTTTTGATAGTTTGGGATTTTTGAAAAATCTATTTTTAGAGTTTCCATGGCAACAACTTTGATTTAGACTGAAATGTCGGTAGTGCTCCTTTCTGCAGCAGATCTTGAACACTGTACACTATTTCTTGCCTTGCACTCAACCGGACATGTCATATTGGCAGTGGATATGAGTATTTCATGCTTGTTCTAATGGTGGCGGTGTCATCTGCTGAAGTACTTTTCTCCTGGGATATCAACATGTCTGTTCCTAAATTGTCTCAATACATGAGCTAATGTGGGTTACTAGTCTGAATATGTCCCAGACGAAACGTGTGTATCTGGTGATAAACGTCTGAGACATTGCTCGTGTGTCAAGGTGTCCTGATGGCAAGGTTTGTAGCTCATGCTATCAATGACTGGTTTGCCTGGACCAGACCTATTTAAGGACTGCCAAAATGACAATCACTCAATACCATGGTCACACACAAATCAACAGCAATTCATACCAAAAAACACATTTATTTTCATAGCGAGCAGACACATTAGATGCTCTTTTGAGCTATCCAGTCGGTGGTCCATGTGTAATGTTTTGGAAAATTCTAGACAAAAAAAGCAAATGAATCTTTACCATCTCCATGTTCAACCGATAGTCAGAAACAAGAGCTGGTCCAATTTGCAATTACTACCAGTTTGATACATTTGACGAAAAGATACAAAGAGTATTTTTTCGAAACCATGTTCCCTTGTCAATAATACATTGTACATATAAAATTGCTTAAAAAATGGTTGACTGTCCATGTGACCAGTGTACGAGGAATAAATGGAGTGGACAAGAGTCCAGGCTTTTCTTCCACAAAGGGATCTTAGTTCTACAACTTTCCTAAGTCTATCTAAGGATATGGGAGTCACGATCATTCATGGGCAAAGATGTGGTTGTTGAACAAGGCCCGGCTCAGCATCAAGATGGCGATCATGTCCTGGACCGTTGTCTCTCAAACATCAATGCAGCTTAAAATAAGTCTGCTGGTATTTGTATTGAACATAAACATGTTAATAAACCACAGCTTCGAGTTTTGCCTGTGACTCTAACCACACATAAATGATTTATTAATACCTCTGGCCAGGAGTTTTCATTTTTTTTAAATTCGAGGGGTTACAGGTGAAAGTTTTACTAAATTGTGTTGTTACGAACAACTCAAGTTTTGAATAATTTTCCTCTTAATCATCCTTTTGCTTCACTTTGTGTTTTGATTTTTACTGTGGACACATATGCACATGCTTCTAAATTGGAAATAGACACCTACCATATCTAAAACATCATGGTTGACCTGGCAGTGACAGTACTAGTAACAGTATCATGTTGGGATTTATTGTATATTAATAAATTAGGCCAGACCAATGCGGGAAATTATTACTGAAGCACAGCATCCGTGTAAAGCCCTTAAATATACAAAAGATTACAAGAGGACAAAGGACAATTAAATGGGACAGTTGGAGTTTTTAATTACACAATAGTTATTGTTTAGCCATGAAATTAAGTCAAGTAAAAGTTGACCTGAAACTGTAGTTAAACAAGTTTGTGAGATTGATTTTCAGAAACGGCAACCATCACTCGCACAGAGCGTAAAAATACTGATCTTAGAAAAAGTTAAATATTCTGAATACAGACCATCAGACAGCATAAAATCATGAAAATCTACTAAAAATATGTTATTCATCTTGCCAAAGTCATTTAAATATAGGAGTGAGTGAATATGGTTTTACGCCACTTTTAGCAATATTCCAGCAATATCACGGCGGGGGACACCAGAAATGGGCTTCACACATCGTACCCATGTCGGGAATCGAACCCGGGTCTTCAGTGTGACGAGCGAACGCTTTAACCACTAGGCTACCTGACCGCCCCTTAAATATAGGAGAAAACACGCCTCCGAGGTTTCAGTTGTAAATGTAAACACGAGAGAGCAGGACTTACAGACTCTCGAGTGTTTACATACGTCAGACGTCAGCTTTCTAAAAAGAGAAGCTGAATTGTCAGCCTGGGACAGCAGTTTTAGGGCAACTAATGTTAGATGCAGCAGAAATTAACCCTCAGCAAGAACTTCTAACATCATTGATTATAATATAAGACTGAAATGACAAGGGGTAAAAATCCACAAGAAAGCACACCCATTTTTATTCTCCATTCAGAACTGCCCATTTACATTGTTTGTCTAGATACAGAAATGAGATGTGCTGCTCTAAATGCTTCGCTCTCACATGTGGAAGATTTAGAAGTCTCCACACTGACAGGATGATTAGAAAATCCTTCGAATCAGAGTAAAGCATCCGAAGAGATTGCCATCCTGCAAATATGTGAGACGAGTGATTCTCCTACGACACACATCCTGTTGGCTACATGAACACATGATATATGATGAATGCTTAACTCCAAGTAGCAGCTTACCTGTAAGAGATCATTTTTAGCTGACCAAAAATGTTGTCAATAAGACGAGATAAATGATTATTTACATTTCGATGATCTATAAAGCACTTTGCACAGATTTGTTCATGACCAAAAGCTGAGCTATGAACAGAACCTTGGCCTTTGTTGACAATCGTTGAGCTGCCTCTTGAATCCCACCTAGGTATTTGCCTTCAACACAATCAGTTGTTGCCCTGGTAGTATATGGTTAGTGTTGCCCGGCCTACTCCAACTGATCCATCTGAAGTACAATAAAACATTATTAACTTGGCTTTGAACATTATCGTTCTGCACCTAAAATTACAGGTATCATCCACAATAACAGTATACTCCCCAGAGAGCTGAAAACCGAGTGCACAGGGATCTGTAATAATAATACATCACCACGAGCAATTCTTGAGAGAGGCACATTAAAAACCGTTATACCTGTACTATGATTAACAGTGATGTTCCAATGGTTGATCATAGTCAGTGACTGATCTGTTACATTATTATACAGTGAATATTATTTTACCCCGTTTTGCGCAATACTCCAGCAACATCACGGAAGAAAACCAGAAACGGGTACACATTGTGCCCATGTGGGGAACTGAACCAAGGTCTGCAGCGCGACAAGCGAATGCTTTAACCACTAGGCTACCCCACCGCCCCTATAATACAGGTGAGAAGGGATCACTACAATAGAAGTGACATGTAAACAGGTGGGTATGATGCAACTCACCAGGTCGTCAGTTGTTTCTGCATCGGCTGCTGGAGCTGGCTCATCTTTCACCTCCTCCTCCACAAACTTGTTTGCCTCCTCCTTGGACACTCCGCCATCTTCACACTCCATCTTGGTGATCAGAGCCTGCTTATCTGCAGCGAAGTACATAGAGCTAATAAACACTGGCAAGAATATATGGTTGTACAAGGACCTGCTCAGAGGCTGATATTCAGCCCAAAATGTCAGTAAAAATTACCATAATGGGAATTACAAACTTATCAATGTTAATATTTATAACTAACGTGATAGTTTGGTCAAGGTGACTTGTATTCACTGAATACAGCACTTCTGAAATTAAGAAAATAAGAACTTTAAAAAAAATAACAGTTTTGAACAAAATAACTGTTTTTCCCATTTTTGCTAGGGGCACTGAGTTTTGAATGCTGGACAAATACCTGCAATAGTCCAGGCACTCAACAAAAGGACTATGCACTACTGCATTGTGGGTAGGTGAGTGAATATGGTTTTAAGCTACTTTTAGCAATATTCCAGCAATATCATGGCACAAATGTACATTGGGGGCAATTGAACCTGGGACTTTGGCGTGATGAGCAGACACTTGAAACACCAGGATAAACTCAAAATATAGTCCGAAGAGCAGTGTTTGCAAAATGTGTCTGCCCGTAGGCTTGTTGCGAGTAGATTTTGTGTCGGGCCTGTAGTTCCAAATTTGTATGGGTCCTTGTAAATTTACATCTTGATTTGTCTGTCACAATAAGCTGCAGTTTTTTTTAAGATGAGGGCCTGAAGAGTTTAGCCAGGGCCTGAAGAGTTTAGTCAGGGCCTGCAGAGTTATGTCAGGGCCTGAAGAGTTTAGTCAGGGCCTGCAGAGTTTAGTCAGGGCCTGAAGAGTTTAGTCAGGGCCTGAAGAGTTAAGTCAGGGCCTGCAGAGTTTAGTCAGGGCCTGAAGAGTTTAGTCAGGGCCTGAAGAGTTTAGTCAGGGCCTGAAGAGTTTAGGAGTGTGGAGAACCTTGTTTTGAGAAAGAGACATCCTACTACTGGTAATCTGGGATAAGTTGAACCAACTCACAAAACACATTTAAGAAAAGTGGCAGTCCTCAGAATTTGGGCAAACATATTTGGTTTGTTACAGGTCGAGAGGTACGCATGTGGTACATGTGCAGGTCATGCCGAATAAATTGCCTACGCATCCATGGACACTATTGAACTGGCCACTAGAACTTGTCAGCCGAGACAGGACATGCACCTGTCCATAGTACTACCGGACCACCCGCTACCCCTTTTTTCTCAATGGTATGTGCCAGTGGGCGGACCTCATACATATGGGGTTAATTGTCAGGTCACAAACTCAACTTATCCTGGCTCACCAGTAAACTACCTGTTTCCTACTCTCAGCATGTGCAGGTGTATAGACTTCAATATACCTTGAACTATTTGATCCCAGAAATCTCTCTTTCCTTTTCCAATGAGCTTGTCCTTGTATTTGGTCATGAAGTCATTGTACACCTTTGCTTCTTGTTTCTGAAACAAATATGTTTTGTTTATTTGTCGTTTGACCCCTCACTCAGCAATATTCCAGCTATATGACCCTGGTCTGTAAATAATCAAGTCTGGACCAGACAATCAAGTGATTGACATCATGAGCATCGAGTTTCATGAGGGATACGATAACACGCATCAACCAATTCCGTATTCCTGACCACCCGATCCCGTTAGTCGCCTCTTACGACCAGCATGGGTTGTTAAATATAGAATACTAAACGAGCTCCCGTGTAATACCAATTTTATGAAACGAGTGAATAGTTCTGGTATCTGACGAGCGAAAGCGAGTCAGATACCACAACTATTCACGAGTTTCATAAAATTGGTTTTACACGAGAGCGAGTTTAGTATTTTATTTATTACTTGTCATTTATAATGTTTTTAGAATTATACTGTTGAGTGTAAATAGGCTGACACCTACACGATCCATGGCATAATCCTATTGAGTTTAACACAATAATACTTCAAACACGTCAAAAGTTGAAACGTATGAATTTAATATCATACAATGGTCCACCTTTAGAATTCAGGCGTTCGTCCCACAAAATTATCGTAGTGCTAAGGCTATCACAACTCACATAATTTAACTTAGACTAACGACTGTCGTTGCGCTAGAGTACGATCGCCTTGTGGAACGGGGCCTTGCACCTTAAAGTTTACAATCACGTCACAATACCCGATGACGTAATTTGTTGAATTTTGTTGCAAGTTCCATCGGCGAAACAATGCCATGTGACGTCAGCCTAGCAACAAGGTTGCTGGGGTCATCGAGTGTGCATAAGCTCCTCCCAGTGATCTATCATCTCCACACACAATGTCGTTGAATACGCCAAGGGATGTTGAGAGCTTTCAATATTTGTTCGTGAAACGTGTTCCGAGAGTACATAAGCACGCGTTTTGGTATTACACAATGTGTAATAAAGCTGTATGTTTATTAAACGGGTGATCTCTTCACGGGCAAGTAATAAAGATCAATTCTAACGCGGACCTTCATGGGATGAAACATATGTTTAGCTATTTAACCAGTCAAAAGGATAAAAACACTTCTCCAGTGCACGGATGCAGTCTGAGCTAACATAAATTGAACTCCCTGCTCATAAAAAACCAAACTAACATCTACTGCGACATATGATTTTTAAAATTTTTTTTTTTTTAAAATAATTAATTCCTTAATCTCTTATTACTCCACACTATTATTACACTATGTCACATCGCTGTGTTTTCATCCCCTCAGCCTGGAGTGAGTGAGTGAGTCTTGTGTCATTCTTCCCGACATTCTACACATATCAGGGGGCACGGGTGGCCCAGTCGTCTAAGGCGCCGCGATTCGCTGTGCAGAGTTGCGTCCATTGGGCACGCCAGAAACCTATGATTGTGGGTTCGAATCCCGGTTCGCCCCGATTATGTTTCTAGGTTTGTCAGCACCATACCCGTGCTCGTGGGTTTCACCGAAGTGGTAAACGTCTGAGACCTGCATCACTTCGGGCTTTCCTCCCACATTAAGCTGACACGCCGCGATATAACTGGAATATTGTTAAAAGCGGCGTTAAACCCAACTCACTCACTCACTCTACACATATCATGGTGACAAACAAAGCATGTGTTTCACACAGTTTACCAATGTTGGGACTCAAACCTGGTTAACCCTTCTTTAACTACTGGGCCACACCATCGTCCCTGAACTCACCTTGATACACTCCTGTCTGAGTGCCTTCAAACACTCCATGGCCTTGCCGTAGAACTGGGTGCCAAATGAGTCCGTCACTATCTGCTCCACTCTCTTCTGCATCTGTTTGCAAGCTGAACACAAAACAATACAACTTGTAATGCCTTTACTGCCCCAGCTGGGTGGCCATCTGCATCAAAAACAGGATTCATGTGCAGGTTTCATTCATCTTCCCGAGGCAAGGGAGTCAACTGATTCTAAAAGTCCAGTTTCAACCCTTGCCCAACAAGGCTTGAATTATGGAAATATTTTGGCTGGACTATCAAGTCTATGCATAGTCCAATTAAAATCGTGTAATGAAATCCACATCCGGTTCATAAACGGCCATGCAGATTTCTGTTGATTGTTGGATTCGCATGGCATGTATACCTCCAACTCAGCGTCAAAAGATATTTTCCAACGTTTTCATGGTTTTAAGCAAGGTGCTCACGTGATTTGATGCACTTCGCGAAGGAAGACCTGTTTCATGACAATATAGATTTTGATTATCGATCAGATCGTCTTGACTTGGCGCTGCCATTTTGTTTGAAACAAATGCAAGTGATATGAGAGGTGATTGGTCAATAGGAGGGACATAGCAGGGACATAACTTAATAGACACTATGATCAAGCCCAGAAATTCCAGCCTAGTTCGACAAGAGTGGAAACTGGACATATGTAGCCAGTTAACTCCCTTGCCATGGAAAGAGGTTTCATTTGGCGGTGCCTACTCGATGTGTCTCAGTACAGCAGTTAGAGGTCCTCACCTTCTTCAAACATGTCTTCGTCCTTCCTGGTGATGAGGGCCTGGAAGTCGGCTGTCGGCGTCACCGTCCCAACCTGGTGTATGACAAATACACAGTTACTGACTTAGAAATACTCGCTGGGGAGCTGACCATCATATCAGGATCCCTTCAACTATTTGCAGTTGAGGAAAACTTTCAATGTCTTTTTGTTCACTGTCTGAGGTGTGAGGAAATATTTTCCAAAGAGTCAGTTTATTTGCATTTCTCTGAATGGCTCCATAACCTATCAGTGTCAGTGTTGACTCTCTTGCACTGTATAAGTTTTGACCTTGACCTTACCTGCGTGACCTTTGCCCGAGTGATGTCCTGCATCCCTCCTTCCAGGTTGTCATCCAGCTTTTGTCGTTTGGGAGCAGACCCAGCCTCCGCCTCACTGTAACACCAACAGACATCAACATCTAAACCCACAACATCACCATGTCACTATGCTGTCTCTCTACTAACCATGATGCAATACTGCCACACTAAACCTAAGTCAAGGTGAAAATGAGTTTAACATTGTGTTCAAGATTATTGCACTTATATAGCATGTGTGGCTTGTACTAGTTCAGACAAATGCCGGTTATATACCGGTAGTACCGGGCCTCAGTTTAACATGAATACCCCACGAATACCCCACCCAGACACAGTACACTGACTCCAAGGCGAGCACTCCTTGTTTTAGCCCCTTAATGCTACCCCAGGCAGGGAAACAAGAAGTACCATCTTTTAGCCTCTTTTGGTATGGCACAACTGGGCCTCAAACCCCAACTGTCTGCTCTCTGGACAGATACTCCATCCACTAGACCACAGAGACAGTCCCCAATCCACCTCGACACAATACTGTCATACTAACCTCCATGGTCAGTCGTTCCTTGCTCCTCTAAGTACTATCAACTCTATACTGCCATTTGGCAACTTGATCTCCTTTACAATAAGCAAGGGGGCTTCAGGATTCAGCAACATATGATAGAATCCATTCCCTCTAGGGAAGGTAATTATTGATAGGAATACATCCAATGAGAGAGTGAATAAGTTGGATTTAACGCCATTATGAACAGTATTCCAATTATCGCATGGCTTGTCAACTTAATGTGTGAGGAAAGCCTTAAGTGATGCAGGTCTCGAGGGTTTGGTGAAACCCACGAACATGAATATAGTGCTGACAAACCTAGAAACATAATCGGGATTAATCAGGATTCAAACCCAGATTCACAGGTTTCTGACGTGATGCAACTCTGCACAGTGAATTGAGGCGCCTTAGTAAACTGGGCCACCCGTGCCCCCTTACATCAAGTGAGTGAGTGAGTTGGGTTTAACGTCGCTTTTAACAGTATTCCAGTTATATCAAGGGGTGTCAGCTTAATGTGGGAGCACGAAGTGATGCAGGTCTCAGACGTTTACCACTTCAGTGAAACCCACGAGCACGGGTATGGTGCTGACAAACCTAGAAACATAATTGGGGCGAACCGAGATTCGAACCCATAATCATAGGTTTCTGGTGTGCCTAAGGGACGCAACTCTGCACAGCGAATCACGGCGCCTTGGACGACTGGGCCACCCGTGCCCCCTTACATCAAGTGAAAGACATCAGTCGAATCAACTTACTTATCCTTAAACATGGTTTCTCCAGTTTGTTCTTCTTTCTTCTTAGTTACCATTTCTAGTTTAAATAGCTTTTTAATTTTCTCCACATGTTCCTCGCAGTTTGTGATAATTTCTTGTGGTGGTTTGAGATAGCTTGCAATAATGGGAGATAACTCTGGTAATCCCTCGTCAGTGTTCTCCGCTCTGTGTTGTAGGCACTGCATCAGATAAGAGTGTAATATCATATTTCATACAGCAGTTACAATGAGAGCTTATTTTTACATTTCTGTCAGCAATTACCAAAGACGAGAGGAGAAGATGATTCTAACAGGACAGTGAAAACCATATGATTATCATCACCCCATATGATTATCATCACCTACACAAACTTCCATGTATTGATATCAACTTTCTAGGTCTTGTGAAGACGAAATGATGCACACACATTTTTTCCAATATTTTATCAAATGTTTGTCATTTCTGTCTGTCTGTCATTTCTGTCTGTCTGTCATTTCTGTCTGTCTGTCAACAAATCTCAAATCTGAATTGTTATCTCCTAAGAACAGAATAGTCATAAATATAAAATCAACAACTCTGAGATATGTTTTGACTATGAGTCCAAGACAGGCATCTAAAGATTCCCCACAAATTCCATTAGTGTCTTGGACAGGCATGTCTGACATGCATCTGACATGTTATAGGTGTCTTACCTGGTATAATCTCTGAAAGTAGGGGTTAAAGGTCAGTTTGGGCTTCAGCACTTCTGTCTTTTCTTCTTCGTCGTCATCATCTCTACAACCAAAACATGTCAAGGCACTGTAGCTCACCTGGTACATGTGCACAGAGTGCTACGGCCATGCTGACCACCTGGTACATGTGCACCGAGTGCTACGGCCATGCAGCTCACCTGGTACATGTGCACCGAGTGCTACGGCCATGCAGCTCACCTGGTACATGTGCACCGAGTGCTACGGCCATGCAGCTCACCTGGTACATGTGCACCGAATGCTACAGCCATGCTGACCACCTGGTACATGTGCACCGAGTGCTACGGCCATGCTGACAGTGCACAATGATAACCCAGGGATTTATCTAAATCAAGTGCCTTTTGCAGGGGGGGGGGGGATCATTATTTTGTTCAAACTTGGGACCCCTAAACTCCTAAATTTTGAGGTATTTTAATCTCGAAATCAGTGCAATATTGTAAACTAAGCCATCTTCCCGAGGCAAGAGAGTTAACTGACTTTAAAAGTCCAGTTTCCACCCTTGCCGAACTAGCCTGGAATTCCTGGGCTCGATCGTAGCGCCACCAGTGGCTATTACCAGTTATTTCCCTTCTAAGCCTCTCCTATGGACCAATCAGATTCCACCTCTCTCTCCACCTTGCATTTACTTCAAACAAAATGGCGGCGCCAAATCAGGACGATCTGCTCGATAGTCAAGATCTATTTTGTGTTAAAAAAGGGTCTTACATCGCGAAATGCATCAAATCATGATTAAAAACAAAAACATTAAAAAAATTTGGAAAATATCTGCTGACAACGAGTTGGCGGTGCACATGCTTTGCAAATCCTGCAATCAACCGACATCTGCACGACAGTTTACGAACCGGATTTTGATTTCGTTGCGAGATTTTGATTAATCTATGCATAGACTCGTTAGTCGAGGCAAAATGTAACTCCGTAATACCAGCCTAGTTCGGCAAGGGTGGAAACTCGTACAAACCTGTAGAGGTTATGGATTCTCTGATGAAATCCTCCTTGGGGCACTTATTGCATTTTCCTTGCTCAAGAAAATCTACATGACATAGTTGTAACCATTTTCCTTAATAAAAAATGTTACCACACAAAAAACAGCGTTTTTGTATGATATACGACCACCCCAACGGGGCCTCACCTTCTACAGGCGACACACGCCAAGGGGAGCGACTCACACCCAAATCACTTTTCCAATGTCTCATAGCAGACGGAATGTGGGGAGGCGGACGGCCGTGCCCCAAGGAGGATTTCATCAGAGAATCCATAACCTCTACAGGTTTGTACGATTCTCTTTCAGATTAAATCCTCCTTGGGGCACTTATTGCATCAAGATAGACTCCTAAAGACAAATAAAGGAAGTGGCATCCGTCTGCAACAAGCGTAAATAAACACATCGTATTACAAGACAAGAGAGAATTAAAAAAATGGAACCCACCCATCGTGAGGCACCACCGTCGAGAGGCGGGGGCTTGAGACAGGGCGTGGTCTGACCATACGCTATGAAAAAAGCCACAGTAGTGGGCTTTATCATAAAACGAGTGAAAACTCAAGAACACCCCCCCACACACACACTTTTTGTACAAGTGATAACCAGGACAATAATCGCTAGGGACAAGACGCCTGGTAGCTATGCAGTCTGTAGGGTCCCGTTGGATCGAGCGAGTGCTGTGTGCATAACGAATGCATTATCGATTAGTAATGACTACCGAAGAATCGTCATTCCCGGAGAGGGGAGAGGAGACTGACATTCTAAAATCTCGAAGACTCAATCGGCTAGAGATGTAGAACTCTGCCCAGTGCGGAGAACTGACTGACCGAACCGAGCACGCTCCCTGGAGTGTTTATCGATTTGGTAGTGTTTGATGAACGTACTCGGCCGGCTCCAAATAGCTGCGGAGCAGATCTCCTCAATGGGCAGAGCTGCGGCATACGCCTTTGACGTAGCCACTGCCCTAACCGAATGAGCCTTCAGCCCCTCAGGGGGGTCCCTCCCTTTGTACGTATATGCCGAACAGATAGCAGAGACAATCCACCGTGAAATAGATTGTTTGCTCGCAGGGGAGCCAGCCTTCCCACCGCCGTAACAGCAGAATAATTGGTTATCCTTACGGATATCCTTAGTCTTGCTGATATAGACCTTGAGAATCTTGCGGACATCCAAAACCTTGGGACGGTAAGAGTGCGGTAGGCGAATACTGACTCTGCCCCCGGTGAAAGACGGTCAGCTCGGGATCAGACATTGCGTGAATGTCGCCTACCCGTCTACCTGACGTCACCGCCACAAGGAACGCCGCCTTCCAGCTCAACAGCTGAAGTGAGAGAGACGACAGATCCCAAAAGGAAGGACCGGACAGCCAATCAAGAACGATTGACAAGTCCCAAGGGGGCTGATCCGCCGGACAGGCGGTCGGATCCTGTCCACACTTGCCAAAAAGCGCTGCACTAACGGGTGCGCACCCAGAAGTGCAACGTCAAAGGGACGTGAAAGGCCGCAATAGCTGTCGAGTACCCCTTGACTGTCGAAGCGGCCAGGCCGGCATCAGGTCGTGATTGGAGGAACTCTAACACCGCGACTAGATCCACAGAAAAGGGATCTGCATGCCCTCTATCGACACACCAGCACGCATAGCAGGCCCATCTATCCCCATATTGAACGTTTGTCGAAACCCTCCGCGAAGCCAGTATTGTGTCTGCAACTCGTGCAGGAATACCCCTCTCCTGGATTCCTGACAGTGGCCAAGCCACCCACTGAATCCGGGGATTCGGGTGGAGTGCCCCGTTCTGGGATAGGAGGTCCGGTCGTAAAGGTAATAGAACAGGAGGCTGAGCCAGAAACCTGAGTATTACGGGAAACCAACTCTGCGCCGACCAAAGAGGTGCCAGTAGCACAAGAAGCCGCGCAGGCTGAGTGGCTAGCTGAGAAAGGACCCTGGGAATCAGAGGAACTGGGGGGAAGGCCCACAGAACTCTGTCCGACTCGGGAGCAGAACACTGGCGTCTGGTGGTTCACTGATATGATGAGATAGCGCTCGTAGCAGCCAGTCGTCGAAGTACGGATGACAGAACCGACCCTGCGACCTGGCCACTTGGGCAGGAATCAACATCAGCTTGGTGAACACCCTTGGGGCCGTGGAGATCCCGGAACTGATAACACCTCCTGTCGAAAGAAAACCTGAGGTATTTCTTGTACTCGGGGTGTATAGGTACATGGAGATAGGCGTCCTTGAGGTCTATCGACGTCAGCCATTCCCCGGTCTCAACAGCAGAGATCACTGAGCGCAGTGTCTCCATCCTGAAGGACGGTACCTCTATGAGTTGGTTCAGTTTTCGCAGATTGAGAATAGGCCTGAACCCTCCGTCTTTTTTGGTGACGAGGAAATAAGTCGAGTAGTAACCCTCGCCTTCCTGTCCCAATGGAACTGGCTCGATAGCAGCTATGTCTAGCAGTGCTACGATCTCGGCACGAAGTATGTCCGCCTTCTCTCGGGTAGCGGGCACCGGAGTGCTCCGTATCCCGGAGAAGGACGGAGGAAAAAGTTTCCATTGAGGTAAGTGGCCCTCCCTGAGTGTAGACATGACCCAGGGATTGGAGGACACCTGCTCCCATTCCATCAGGAAGAGAGAGAGTCGGCCGCCCACGGGAACTTCCGGCAACTGGCAATGAACCCCAACAGTCGGCAGCACCTGGGGCTGGGCAGGAGCTATTGGGAACCGGATTGGTTCCCAGCCCCGCAAAAAGGCTGGTGGCCCCGGCCAGCTGCCTTGCCCCGGCCCTTGCCCTTCTTGCCCCTCCCAACGCCCTTGCCTGAAGGAAGCGGCTGCTTCCAAGCAGGCTTGGACTTCCGAGTTGGGTCTTGACATCCTCGAACATCGACGCCATCTGCGACCGCAGAAGCGCTGAAACAACAGCAAGGTTAAAAGGTGCAGGGGAGGGGGTACCTCGGGGACCCGAGAGCCCTCATCCCCGGACTGCGATACAGGCGCAGCGGAGATAGAAGGGACCGGGGCGGAAGACTTGGTCTTCTTGCCCTTACCTTTTGACGGGGGGGGGGCAGATTTTGCCAAACGTATGTCTGCCCCCGCCTCCAATAATCCCGTAAAATGAATTAGGTCAGCGTGTCTACGCTTTCTGGCCCTGGGAGTGAAGGCGCCACATATGGCACACGACTGGTCATCGTGGCCCTCCTCCGCCAAGCAGCGAATGCACTTAGGGTGGGAGTCCTGCGGTGGTATTGCCACGTCGTACCCCAAACAACCTTTGAAAGTCTGCAACAGACCGACAACACTAAACGGATAGGGAACGCGGGGGGGGGGGAAATGTATCAGTGCGAATGGCGAAATTGCAGAAAGATACATGCATAATTACAACACAACATATGCAAAGGCGTAACGAAAATGGGACACGCGAAATCGATAGCCAAGGCCGTGTATACATTTGTAACATATAAAGGGAGCGTAGTAAACCTCCCCCCACCCGGGCGGAAAAAAACACACAGTAACGTGCGCCCGCAGGGCAATTTATGAAAGTTACAGTTGGGTTGAAATGGAAACAATGTAGCGAAATAAAGTTAAGATAAAAAAAGCCATGTCAGTTGTACCCGAACATGAAATTTTACCAAACAGAATAAGCTACACAGCGGCCTCCATACGTGCTACGAGCACGTGGCGGCCGAGGTACAACATATAAAACCCATAAATGCGAGGAATTACGCCTTTGCAAGAAAGAAAGGGAAAAAATACCACACATACAGATTGAGCCATGTCTTCAATATTCCACAATAAGTAGGACGAAGTTTTCAATTCTCAGCGGTCTTAGAAGTACGTCTGTACAGTCTGATGACATAAGGAAAAGTGATTTGGGTGAGAGTTGCTCCCCTTGGCGTGTGTCGCCTATAGAGGGTGAGGCCCCATTGGGGTGCTCCTATATCATACAAAAACAGTTTTTTGTGTGGTAACATTTTATATTAAGGAAAATGGTTACAACTATGTCATGTAGATTTTCTTGAGCAAGGAAAATGCAATAAGTGCCCCAAGGAGGATTTAATCTGAAAGAGAATGGACTTTTATAGTCAGTTAACTCTCTTGCCTCGGGAAGATGAAACTAAGCGTGAACGCCTCCTTGCCTTTATCATATTGTGTTTGGTCCTGTTATCAGTGATATGTTCTGTCTACAAAGCCAGCATAGAAGATCTAACCATATTAACATTAATTCCAATTTGGCAATTGTAATTGACATTTGATGCAAACTTGGGGCTGAATATCAGGCTCTGAGCAGGTGTACGTAAACCCCTGTATTCATTCCAACAAGTTAGAAATATTGTAGAATGTAGCCAATTGTAATATCTCTTCACTGCGTTACTAACAGCTGGACAGTTTAATAATGACGGATTCACCTACCCAAACTCTGACAAATGTTGAAATGAAATCAAGTTTAGAGAACAGTCCCATATTTTGTTTACTTTATGCTGAATTCTTTTTCCTGAGAAGGATATAGATGAAATTATACATTTATACTACTGATTGTTTGTGTGAAGGAAGTTATTTCCATCAGTGTATGGAGCTTACCCTGCAGCCTGGCTCAGGTCCATGGATGTGATGAGTTCATCCACCGCAGTGAGTTGCTCAGCTGTGGAAACAACATTGGCATGCGTTGACATAATGACGAGAAGAATAGTTCCACGGCACTGTAGCTCACTTGATCACGTAGTTCAAAATGTCTACATATATAACCACTTGTCTTAACAAAATATGCTGTCAGCAGAAGGAGAAACATACCTGCCACTGTTCAGAGAAAAAGTTTACAGAGCAAAATATGCATTTGAGCTCCACAATTAACAAACCAAATACCAAATTTCATTACGTTTTGTGCAAACATGGGTGAGTAATGGCGATAAATTGACTTTTCAGCAATGGCTGCTGTGGTGGCCATATTGAAATGATATTTGAAGCTAAGAACAAGTTCAGGTGACATCACTGGTGATTTCAATCACGTGAGGTTTCAGCTTCATCGGTCCAGTCCATTTCAGAGATAAAAAGAGCAAGGTCGAAGTGCAATGTGATAGAAAGGTCAAAACTTAAAATATCATGCAAACCTGAACAAATGTGTTAACTCCCACTACTAACACCACATATACCACATTTCATTGCACTTAGAAAGAAAATGGCTAAATAATGGATCTAAGTAGTTTCTGTATTCAGAATGGTCAAATCAAGGTCAAAATTTAAATATTGCAAAAAACGTAACACGTATGTTGAACCCCACTACTAACTACACATGTGATTTATTTAATGACATTTTGTAAAAAAATGACCGAATAATGGCCATTAATAGGTTTTTCAATAAGGATGCCATAAAGGTCATATAGAAAATCAGTTTTAAACAAATTGAACAAATATGGGTGTCATCATTGGTAGGAGTGAGTGAGTGAGTAAGTGAGTTTGATTTTACGCCGCTTTTAGCAATATTCCAGCAATATCACGGTAGGGGACACCAGAAATGGGCTTCACACATTGTACCCATGTCGGGAATCGAACCCGGGTCTTCGGCGTGACGAGCGAACACTTTAACCACTAGGCTACCCGACCGCCCTCATTGGCAGGAACAAGCCTGTGAAATTTCAGCTTCATTGGTCCTGTTTCTGAGGGGAAGGTGTTCATGACGGGCACCACACAAACAGGCCATGACTTCAGTTCACTTGACTTTCTGTCAGGTGAGCTAAACATAACACTGACGTAAACATTACACTATTCTGTAAGAAGTGTGACTGTATATCCTTCAATACATACCAGTGGGTTTGTATTTCTTGTTGGTTTCACCCTCATCAGTGATGGGCAGAGTTCCAAAGGTAAACTGACGTAGGTCCTCGGCAAAAGGGATTTCCGCCCAATACAAACACTGCACAAGAAAATTCATGTAATTTGAGAGATACAAAACTTGCTTTACAAATTTCAGAAGTCTTTCTTCGTAAAACCATTCAAAGTTGATAGCATGTCACAGCATCATCTACACAAGAGAACTACAATGACATTCATAATACACAACTGACTCTTGGATTTTACCACCATGTCTCATACCAAGAATCATTACAAACTTGATTGCACAGTCCTCAATGTTTATACAATTTGTGTTAACATAATAATAACAAAGATAACTATGGGGATTTATTTATTGTCTGGGAAATTATTTTCTCACTGAACAACTATGTTTTGTAACTTCTTCATTAGCGAATTTTCGATGATAGTTCCTTTGTTTTGATTGTTAAATAAGCAGTTCTTCACAACGAGACATCATTCAATGAGTTGACTTTCTTTTCCAAAAGTGAAAACATTAAAGCTACCATGTTACACCTGAAACAGCAGATCACCAAGTCTGTAGTGAAGCATGTCAGTTAATCACACTATGACACTACTTTGCATAAACAAGAGTCATCAGAAGATAACACATCCCCCCAGTCTGGTGCAATTCAGAAATAGAGTTTGGCCTCTTTGTACCCCACTTCTCTTTCATTGCCATTGGATACCTTCAGTTCAGTGAAAAAATAAATAACGCTGTTTGTTATTTTTCTAAATCCCAAATCATCAAATGGCACCAGTTCACCACAAGAGTGATCTAGCAAGTTTCATCCAGAAAAAACAACGGGTTTTTTAAGTTCTGCTCTGGAAACGACCCCACTTGTCGTCATGAAAACATAAAAAAAAGATAACCACAAAAATCCCAAATCATCAAATGGCACCAGTTCCCCACTAGACTGATCTATTTAGCAAGTTTCAACAAGAAATATTAAACAGTTTTGGAGTTCTGCTCCTGAAATGGAAAACGGATGCACATGCTGATCGCTATATCCCCCCCCTCCCCCACCCACCCCGTTTTTCAAACCAGGGCAATAAAAGTGTTGTGTATATTTCTGCTTTACAGAACAAATGATTTCAATATTGTGATGCATATGGCACCAACCCACTGCTATTTAAAGCAACACTGATCACTGGTGGCACCTTCATACACACCATAGTTCCAGGAAATAAATGAAAATAGTGCCAAAAAAAGTTGCAGTTAGCATTCATGTTAAAATATTTTTGCATAAGTACTGAGGAAAAGTAGTGTCACAGCACTGTGGCTCACCTAGATATGTAGTCAATAAGGACAGTCACTGAGTGCTATCAGCATTGATATTCAAATATTACCAAAACCTAACTAATTGAACAATTATGTTATCTATAATAAGGAGTAAACAGCAGGACAATGTCAGATTCTTCAGTCTGGTAAATTTCAGAAGAGAAAACTTTACAGGGGTTAAAACAAGGTAAAAAATGGCCATAAACCGATTTTTCAATATGACTGCCATTACAACTTTCTTGAAAACGGGAGTCTTTAAGAAAGTCAGGTGGCATCATTGGTTGGAACAAGAATTTAAGACTTAGAACATGGTCAATGTGCAAAGGTGAAATCAAGGTCAAATTTGATAATATCCCAAGTAATGACCATATAGAGGTTTTTGATATGGCAATATGGCCATATTGAAATCTAGATTCGAACCTCTTGAACAAACTGGGGTGGCAACAAGCACGTGAAGCTTCAGCTTCATTGGTCCAGTGAATTCTTGGGAGATGTTTGCAGTGCAAGGAAATGCAATTCGAGAGAATTTGAAAGTGCAAAGGTCAATCAAGCATGAAATACTCATATCCTCCGCCAATATGACATGTCCGGTTGTGTGCAAGAAATATTGGACAGTTTTCAAGATCTGCTCCAGAAACGAGCACTACCGCCATTTTCAGTCTAAGTAAAAGTCGTTGCAATGGAAAGGTTAAATAATTTTTTTTTTAAATCCCCAACTATCAAAAGGCACAGTTTACCACTAGACCTATCTATGTGCCAAGTTTGGTAAAGAAATGTACGGACGGACGGACGGAAGGATGGAAGGACAGACAGTCAGCACCCATTCCTATATTCCCCTTCCACTTTGTGGCAGTTTATAATATTAAAAGCTAAAAAAATAAAATATTACAAAAACAAATGCTAACAAACTGGCCATGGCAAAAGCTCACTTTACATTCTTCCAGGTGAGCTAGATATGCCATAAATGCAATAACTTGACACCAAAAACTTGTATTTCCCAAGTCTAGAGCTGGCAGGCCAACTCATTTGACTGTAGTTTTAGGCCACACAGCTGTAACAATCCCTGTCTGTGAAGTGAGTGCCTACCTCATAATTGGCCTTGATGGAAGGCCAGAGAACTCCAAGTTTAGGTCCTGAGGCACTGGAGTAGACTCTTCGAGCGATGACCACCATGTTTGTCTCATAGAGGGCGTTGATCATGGCAGAGAGAGCGACCCCAGCAGCCTGTAGTTGAGGAATGAGTTAAAAACAGGGTCTGTCTATAGAGGTGATAAGTTTCAATGTATGATTCTCTAATTTCACAGTGACACATTCTACAATGTTGGTCTATAGAGGCATCAACGCCAGCTAATTTGTTTTTGGGTTGGAGAAAGTTCCATGGTGATGAGTAATAGTTAGAAGGATGTAAACAAAGTTATAAAAGAGTGAGTGAGTGAGTGAATGAGTATGGTTTTACGCCGCTTTTAGCAATATTCCAGCAATATCACGCCGGGGGACACCAGATATGGGCTTCACACATTGTACCCATGTCGGGAATCGAACCCGGGTCTTCGGCGTGACTAGCGAACGCTTTAACCACTAGGCTACCCGACCGCCCCAGTTATAAAAGAAACTTTGTCCCACACATGTATAATGATATGCATACATATGTAATACATAAATAATTATGGAAATATTTGGTAAAACATTCCTAACTGTAAATTATTACACAAAACACGTTTGTATTATTGGGGCACAATCATCAAGGGGAGTCTCTCGCCTGCAGCCGCTGCAGTGAAACAATGACCCATATCCGTGAAGCGGGTCATGACAAGCGACATGAGGTCAGGCCTACAGCATATCACTATGCGGGAAACGTTGACCCAGTTTCCATGTAGCGAGGTATTAGCACTTTTGGACAGAGTGAATTATTGACGTGTCAGGCTACCGGACTAGACATATTAAAATTAGGGTGGTAAGTATGGTTCATGGTAAATGTGCAATCACACCCATTAATATTAATATTTTTTTAATTTGAAGTTTACACAATATATGGCTTTTCCATTGGAAGAGAGGCCAGTCACATGACCGCAAAACTGAAGTTCATAAGCGTATGAATGACACAATTTGACATTCAGACATTTTTAACGAGACGTAATTCTTGAAATGACGTAAACACTGACAGACTACTTCCACATTCCTGGGGAAACCCCTGTGAATTCCCTTGCATAAATACATATTTCTGAATATTTAGACTCTTCAATCTTGAACTCAGCATACACTGAGAAACGTCAGAAACGGGGCACTTTACATATTGTTTTGCATAATTATATAGATATACTACTACAACTGTGACAGTGAGTTGCATGACAATATCTATTTATGCATCAAAGTGACCATATCGCTAGCTCTCCGTTGGGCTTCGGTGACAGCACGTGGAGCCGTACAACCAATGTAAACAAAGGATAACTACGCAAAAACAAGTAGATTTTCACGTTTTATGATACTTTCTTAATGAACCGTAACCATTCTTTGAAATTTGTTTATGAAAATGTGTAGACTTGTCAAACATGAAACGGATGAAAAGCATATGCAATATCTTGAATGGACTGTGAAAGATGTAATGAATCGTCACATGGCGCTGGCCTGTGGCAGAGGTACTATGCTGGCTGGCTGCCGTCCGCATGGAACTCTGGGTAGGAGAGTGACCTACCTCATCACCTTTCTCTGCAAAAACAACATTTGTCCCATCTCCGAGGAAGTGATGGCGTCTTACCTGAAAATGTTAGTGCAAGGGTTGAAATGATGTTCATATAAAAACTATTAACATACCGCTGAACACACCTTCCCACTTTCTATGAAGTGAAATACATTTTGTTTTAATGTTCTCACATTTTGTTTTACAAATAAACACATTTTTAAACTTTGGACAACATGAACTTGACGTTTTTGAACATACTCACATTTTCACTTTTTGTAAAGCCAAGAACCTTCAGACATTTCTCCGCTCTGTACTTCATGTTTTCTTTGTCATCTTCAGACATTGGCACTAATGTGTTACCATAGCGATAACCTGCAACATTTGGAGAGATGAAATATTTCAGGAATTTCATGCAATTTCAAAATTATTCTTTCTTTCAAATCATTTGGCAGTGAATCCCAATATTTTCAGTGTCTTTGGAAAGTTTCCTAATAACCAAAGTATTTCTTCTGCAACTTCTGTGAGTAATGCTTCTAATCAAAAAGATTTCTACTGGCAACAAAATGAACAAGAGCATATCTTTTTGTTTTAGGGTCTAAGAGGAAAATTATCGAGATTGACTTTATGGACTTCTTTTCGTGAGGCATGACACTTCTGACATGGTTTATAGCTTTGTTGTAATAGGTTACCATACCCTGTACCCCCTCCACCTCATCCCTACACACCCTGCCTGACATCCCCCCTCCATCTCATCCCTACACACCCTACCTGACGTCCCCTCTCCACCTCATCCCTACACACCCTGCCTGACGTCCCCCCTCCACCTCATCCCTACACACCCTGCCTGATGTCCCCCCTCCACCTCAGCCCTACACACCCTGCCTGACGTCCCCCCTCCACCTCAGCCCTACACACCCTGCCTGACGTCCCCCTCCACCTCATCCCTACACACCCTGCCTGACGTCCCCCCTCCACCTCAGCCCTACACACCCTGCCTGACGTCCCCCTCCACCTCATCCCTACACACCCTGCCTCACGTCCCCCCTCCACCTCAGCCCTACACACCCTGCCTGACGTCCCCCCTCCACCTCAGCCCTACACACCCTGCCTGACGTCCCCCTCCACCTCATCCCTACACACCCTGCCTGACATCCCCCCTCCACCTCATCCCTACACACCCTGCCTGACGTCCCCATCCACCTCATCCCTACACACCCTGCCTGACATCCCCCCTCCACCTCAGCCCTACACACCCTGCCTGATGTCCCCCCTCCACCTCATCCCTACACACCCTGCCTGACATCCCTACACACCCTGCCTGACGTCCCCCCTCCACCTCAGCCCTACATACCCTGCCTGACGTCCCCCCTCCACCTCAGCCCTACACACCCTGCCTGACGTCCCCCTCCACCTCATCCCTACACACCCTGCCTGACGTCCCCCCTCCACCTCAGCCCTACACACCCTGCCTGACGTCCCCCTCCACCTCATCCCTACACACCCTGCCTCACGTCCCCCCTCCACCTCAGCCCTACACACCCTGCCTGACGTCCCCCCTCCACCTCAGCCCTACACACCCTGCCTGACGTCCCCCTCCACCTCATCCCTACACACCCTGCCTGACATCCCCCCTCCACCTCATCCCTACACACCCTGCCTGACGTCCCCATCCACCTCATCCCTACACACCCTGCCTGACATCCCCCCTCCACCTCAGCCCTACACACCCTGCCTGATGTCCCCCCTCCACCTCATCCCTACACACCCTGCCTGACATCCCTACACACCCTGCCTGACGTCCCCCCTCCACCTCAGCCCTACATACCCTGCCTGACGTCCCCCTCCACCTCAACCCTACACACCCTGCCTGACATCCCCCTCCACCTCAACCCTACACACCCTGCCTGACGTCCCCCCTCCACCTCAACCATACACACCCTGCCTGATGTCCCCCTCCACCTCATCCCTACACACCCTGCCTGACGTCCCCCTCCACCTCATCCCTACACACCCTGCCTGACGTCCCCCCTCCACCTCAACCCTACACACCCTGCCTGACATCCCCCTCCACCTCAGCCCTACACACCCTGCCTGACATCCCCCCTCCATCTCATCCCTACACACCCTGCCTGACATCCCCCCTCCATCTCATCCCTACACACCCTGCCTGACATCCCCCCTCCATCTCATCCCTACACACCCTACCTGACGTCCCCTCTCCACCTCATCCCTACATACCCTGCCTGACATCCCCCTCCACCTCAGCCCTACACACCCTGCCTGACATCCCTACACACCCTGCCTGACATCCCTACACACCCTGCCTGATGTCCCCCTCCCCCTCATCCCTACACACCCTGCCTGACGTCCCCCTCCACCTCATCCCTACACACCCTGCCTGACATCCCTACACACCCTGCCTGACGTCCCCCCTCCACCTCAACCCTACACACCCTGCCTGACATCCCCCTCCACCTCAGCCCTACACACCCTGCCTGACATCCCTACACACCCTGCCTGACATCCCCCCTCCATCTCATCCCTACACACCCTGCCTGACATCCCCCCTCCATCTCATCCCTAATCACCCTGCCTGACATCCCCCCTCCATCTCATCCCTACACACCCTACCTGACGTCCCCTCTCCACCTCATCCCTACATACCCTGCCTGACATCCCCCTCCACCTCAGCCCTACACACCCTGCCTGACATCCCTACACACCCTGCCTGACATCCCCCCTCCATCTCATCCCTACACACCCTACCTGACGTCCCCCTCCACCTCATCCCTACACACCCTGCCTCACGTCCCCCTCCACCTCATCCCTACACACCCTGCCTGACGTCCCCTCCACCTCATCCCTACACACCCTGCCTGACATCCCCCCTCCACCTCATCCCTACATACCCTGCCTGACATCCCCCCTCCATCTCATCCCTACACACCCTGCCTGACATCCCCCCTCCACCTCATCCCTACACACCCTACCTGACGTCCCCCCTCCACCTCATCCCTACACACCCTGCCTGACGTCCCCCCTCCACCTCATCCCTACACACCCTGCCTGACGTCCCCCCTCCACCTCATCCCTACACACCCTCCCTGACGTCCCCCTCCACCTCAGCCCTACACACCCTGCCTGACGTCCCCCTCCACCTCATCCCTACACACCCTGCCTGACGTCCCCCCTCCACCTCATCCCTACACACCCTCCCTGACGTCCCCCCTCCACCTCATCCCTACACACCCTGCCTGACGTCCCCCCTCCACCTCATCCCTACACACCCTCCCTGACGTCCCCCCTCCACCTCAGCCCTACACACCCTCCCTGACGTCCCCCCTCCACCTCAGCCCTACACACCCTGCCTGACATCCCCCCTCCACCTCATCCCTACACACCCTGCCTGACATCCCCCCTCCATCTCATCCCTACATACCCTGCCTGACGTCCCCCTCCACCTCATCCCTACACACTCTGCCTGACGTCCCCCCTCCACCTCATCCCTACACACCCTGCCTGACGTCCCCCCTCCACCTCATCCCTACACACCCTGCCTGACGTCCCCCCTCCACCTCATCCCTACACACCCTCCCTGACGTCCCCCTCCACCTCAGCCCTACACACCCTGCCTGACGTCCCCCTCCACCTCATCCCTACACACCCTGCCTGACGTCCCCCCTCCACCTCATCCCTACACACCCTGCCTGACGTCCCCCCTCCACCTCATCCCTACACACCCTGCCTGATGTCCCCCTCCACCTCATCCCTACATACCCTGCCTGACATCCCCCCTCCACCTCATCCCTACACACCCTGCCTGACGTCCCCTCTCCACCTCATCCCTACACACCCTGCCTGACGTCCCCCTCCATCTCATCCCTGCCTGATGTCCCCCTCCACCTCATCCCTACACACCCTGCCTGACGTCCCCCTCCACCTCATCCCTACACACCCTGCCTGACGTCCCCCCTCCACCTCATCCCTACACACCCTGCCTGACGTCCCCCTCCACCTCATCCCTACACACCCTGCCTGACGTCCCCCTTCACCTCATTCCTACACACCCTGCCTGACGTCCCCCCTTCACCTCATTCCTACACACCCTGCCTGACGTCCCCCTCCACCTCATCCCTACACACCCTGCCTGACGTCCCCCCTTCATCTCATTCCTACATGCCCTGCCTGACGTCCCCCTCCACCTCATCCCTACATACCCTGCCTGACGTCCCCCTCCACCTCATCCCTACATACCCTGCCTGACGTCCCCCTCCACCTCATCCCTACACACCCTGCCTGACGTCCCCTCTCCACCTCATCCCTACACACCCTGCCTGACGTCCCCCCTCCACCTCATCCCTACAAACCCTGCCTGACGTCCCTACATACCCTGCCTGACGTCCCCCTCCACCTCATCCCTACATACCCTGCCTGACGTCCCCCCTCCACCTCATCCCTACAAACCCTGCCTGACGTCCCTACATACCCTGCCTGACGTCCCCCTTCACCTCATTCCTACACACCCTGCCTGACATCCCCCTCCACCTCATCCCTACACACCCTGCCTGACGTCCCCCTCCACCTCATCCCTACACACCCTGCCTGACGTCCCCCCTCCATCTCATCCCTACACACCCTGCCTGACGTCCCCTCTCCACCTCATCCCTACATACCCTGCCTGACGTCCCCCTCCACCTCATCCCTACACACCCTGCCTGACGTCCCCCCTCCATCTCATCCCTACACACCCTGCCTGACGTCCCCTCTCCACCTCATCCCTACATACCCTGCCTGACTTCCCCCTCCACCTCATCCCTACACACCCTGCCTGACATCCCCCCTCCACCTCATCCCTACACACCCTGCCTGACATCCCCCCTCCACCTCATCCCTACACACCCTGCCTGACATCCCCCCTCCACCTCATCCCTACACACCCTGCCTGACATCCCCCTCCACCTCATCCCTGCCTGATGTCCCCCTCCATCTCATCCCTACACACCCTGCCTGACATCCCCCTCCACCTCATCCCTACACACCCTGCCTGACGTCCCCCCTCCACCTCATCCCTACACACCCTGCCTGACGTCCCCCTCCACCTCATTCCTACACACCCTGCCTGACATCCCCCTCCACCTCATCCCTACACACCCTGCCTGACATCCCCCCTCCACCTCATCCCTACACACCCTGCCTGACGTCCCCCTCCACCTCATCCCTACACACCCTGCCTGACATCCCCCCTCCACCTCATCCCTACATACCCTGCCTGACATCCCCCTCCACCTCATCCCTACATACCCTGCCTGATGTCCCCCTCCATCTCATCCCTACACACCCTGCCTGACATCCCCCTCCACCTCATTCCTACATACCCTGCCTGACATCCCCCTCCACCTCATCCCTACACACCCTGCCTGACATCCCCCTCCACCTCATCCCTGCCTGATGTCCCCCTCCACCTCATCCCTACACACCCTGCCTGACATCCCCCTCCACCTCATTCCTACACACCCTGCCTGACATCCCCCTCCACCTCATCCCTGCCTGACGTCCCCCTCCACCTCATCCCTACACACCCTGCCTGACATCCCCCTCCACCTCATCCCTACACACCCTGCCTGACATCCCCCTCCACCTCATCCCTGCCTGACGTCCCCCTCCACCTCATCCCTACACACCCTGCCTGACATCCCCCTCCACCTCATTCCTACACACCCTGCCTGACATCCCCCTCCACCTCATCCCTGCCTGACGTCCCCCTCCACCTCATCCCTACACACCCTGCCTGACATCCCCCTCCACCTCATCCCTACACACCCTGCCTGACATCCCCCTCCACCTCATCCCTGCCTGACGTCCCCCTCCACCTCATCCCTACACACCCTGCCTGACATCCCCCTCCACCTCATCCCTACATACCCTGCCTGACATCCCCCTCCACCTCATCCCTACACACCCTGCCTGACATCCCCCTCCACCTCATCCCTACATACCCTGCCTGACATCCCCCTCCACCTCATCCCTGCCTGATGTCCCCCTCCACCTCATCCCTACACACCCTGCCTGACGTCCCCCCTCCACCTCATCCCTACACACCCTGCCTGACGTCCCCCTCCACCTCATCCCTGCCTGATGTCCCCCTCCACCTCATCCCTACACACCCTGCCTGACATCCCCCTCCACCTCATCCCTGCCTGACATCCCCCTCCACCTCATCCCTACACACCCTGCCTGACGTCCCCCTCCACCTCATCCCTACACACCCTGCCTGACATCCCCCTCCACCTCATCCCTGCCTGACATCCCCCTCCACCTCATCCCTACACACCCTGCCTGACATCCCCCTCCACCTCATCCCTACACACCCTGCCTGACGTCCCCCTCCACCTCATCCCTACACACCCTGCCTGACATCCCCCTCCACCTCATCCCTGCCTGACGTCCCCCTCCACCTCATCCCTACACACCCTGCCTGACATCCCCCTCCACCTCATCCCTACACACCCTGCCTGACATCCCCCTCCACCTCATCCCTGCCTGATGTCCCCCTCCATCTCATCCCTACACACCCTGCCTGACGTCCCCCTCCATCTCATCCCTACACACCCTGCCTGACGTCCCCCTCCACCTCATCCCTACACACCCTGCCTGACATCCCCCTCCACCTCATCCCTGCCTGACGTCCCCCTCCACCTCATCCCTGCCTGATGTCCCCCTCCACCTCATCCCTACACACCCTGCCTGACGTCCCCCTCCACCTCATTCCTACACACCCTGCCTGACGTCCCCCTCCACCTCATCCCTACACACCCTGCCTGACATCCCCCTCCACCTCATCCCTGCCTGATGTCCCCCTCCACCTCATCCCTACACACCCTGCCTGACGTCCCCCTCCACCTCATTCCTACATACCCTGCCTGACGTCCCCCTCCACCTCATTCCTACATACCCTGCCTGACGTCCCCCTCCACCTCATCCCTACACACCCTGCCTGACATCCCCCTCCACCTCATTCCTACATACCCTGCCTGACGTCCCCCTCCACCTCATCCCTACACACCCTGCCTGACGTCCCCCTCCACCTCATTCCTACATACCCTGCCTGACGTCCCCCTCCACCTCATCCCTACACACCCTGCCTGACATCCCCCTCCACCTCATCCCTACACACCCTGCCTGACGTCCCCCTCCACCTCATTCCTACATACCCTGCCTGACGTCCCCCTCCACCTCATCCCTACACACCCTGCCTGACATCCCCCTCCACCTCATCCCTACACACCCTGCCTGACGTCCCCCTCCACCTCATCCCTACACACCCTGCCTGACGTCCCCCCTCCATCTCATCCCTACACACCCTGCCTGACGTCCCCCTTCACCTCATTCCTACACACCCTGCCTGACGTCCCCCTCCACCTCATCCCTACACACCCTGCCTGACGTCCCCCCTCCACCTCATCCCTACACACCCTCCCTGACATCCCCCTCCACCTCATCCCTACACACCCTGCCTGACATCCCCCTCCACCTCATCCCTGCCTGATGTCCCCCTCCACCTCATCCCTGCCTGACATCCCCCCTCCACCTCATCCCTACACACCCTGCCTGACATCCCCCTCCACCTCATCCCTACACACCCTGCCTGATGTCCCCCTCCACCTCATCCCTACACACCCTGCCTGACGTCCCCCCTCCACCACATCCCTACATACCCTGCCTGACATCCCCCCTCACGTCCCCCTCCACCTCATCCCTACACACCCTGCCTGACGTCCCCCTCCACCTCATCCCTACACACCCTGCCTGACGTCCCCCTCCACCTCATCCCTACACACCCTGCCTGATGTACCCCCTCACGTCCCCCTCCACCTCATCCCTACATACCCTGCACGATGTCCTCTTTCTCCATCTCTGTCTCCTCCTCGTCGTTCATGTGCTGTGTCCGCAAGTTGCCCACCTTTTGGTCAGGATCCTTTGCATACACCTTCTTCCAGCTCTGCTTCAACTTGAAGTCTTTTATCTGTATCATTTAAGCCAAACCTTAATAAGGGTGAGAGTTGCTTTAGTTGCAAATATTTCTTTTGTTTGTTTGTTGTTTAGAGCCAGATGTAAGACCTCATCCTATAATATGAATCTGGACCAGATGAATTAGTGATCAACATCATGAGCAACAATCCACACCATCAGGACATGACGACATACAATCAACCAAGCCTGACCACCCAATCCATTTAGTCGCCTCGTACAACCAGCATAAACTTCTATTCCAACCAGGAATCCCCACACACGGTGCAATTATTTGTGATAATAGGGCAACAGCTACTCAGCCACAACATTTCCAATTATCAAAGTTATACTTGATCCTGATTTTCGATAAAATTCGAAAGTTAACAACTCCAAAACTGGGCTCACAATGTGTTCCAATATTCAGTGAGTTCTTTTTGTGAAATTGGGTTTGTCATAATTGACATTTATCCTCCTACTTCCATGATGCCTATTGAATGTAAGGTCGGATGGACTGTACAGAGTACAATTCAGGGATCACAAGTCACGGGTACAATCAAACAAACACTCACTTTTCCGTAAAAGTTAATCGGTATGCGGAGATCAGGCCCAATATCCATTGTACATTTCCATGCTGTCGGGCGGACCTGGCGAGCGGTGAAATAACTCAGGGCAGGCAGCGCTTCACTGCAAAGATAAACATCGCACTATGACTGACTTCAAGCAATCATTATTTCCATCAATAAGCAAATGTAGTTCACTGTGATATTTGTATACAGGAAACAATGAGGAAGGGAGTGTGGTTTATTCCATGATAAAACATTGTTCTATCATGACGTCATTTCTGGAGATTCGAACATATGCTCTTAACTTGATGACGTCGTAAATTGGAAGATGCTATTTTTAAGAGGTAAATGTCTAGTGTCTAGTTGTTCCCAATAGATGTAGCTGGGCAATGCAGATCAATGCGATGGCTGAACAATCGCATCAAGAAGTGGGCAAGATATGACAATTGGTATTAGGAGAAAAGGTACAGATAATCGCTGTGACAATTGTGAGAATAACTCCCCTGTCCATAAAATGGACTTGTCCGACATTGCAGAGATCAAATTGTATTCAGCAATATACTGGTATCATAACTTCTCTATTCTGCACACACACAGTAGCTAGTATGACAAAAGTAATATAAAGGGACCCGACAACAGCTGCCCACATTCCCTAGACACCCCAGTGTTATTTCTCTTGGCCGTGGATGTGCTTGGCTTGCTATCACAGAGAGCCACATACAAATTGTCATGTAACTCGTACAAGAAAACCTCAGAACGTACTTTCCAAATTTGAGTGAAGTGACATGTCAACAAACCTGAACGAATAGCATTCTCCCTCCACTTGGTCCAGAATATGTTTGACCATAGCTTCCCCTGCTCGCTGCTGAGGGGTCTTTTCCTTGCGATGACCGTTGACCGATGCCCCCCCTGCATCTCCTCCCCCTTCCTCATCCTCATCATCCTCAATGTTGGGGCCACTGAAATTGGATTCATAATATCATGGTAAAAGTGTTGTCTAAAACTATTGTTCTGCACCCATGAATGAATGACCGTCCTCTCTCGAGGCAGTACGACACCGCCCAAACTTATGGTATGAATCATAGTATCGCTGTGATGAATTAACCTACAGTTTTAACAGCTTAGCCTCAGTTGGTCATCAACCTTTCACACCATTCCATGCGTCTATCAAATTAATATTATTTAGTAACCCTAATGCAACAGCTAATTTCCGTATTGCACACTTGGTTCAAAGGTGTTAAAAGAGACAACGATCGATACCAATTCGAAAAATATTTAGATAAAGTTTTGAATGCCTTGTTATCTACTGTATTCGTTCCAAATTACAAGAAATATTTATTCATCTGTAAAGCACTTCATTGACATGATATTCTCAAAATGCATTACTTATTCACCTGAGTCACAGTAGGAACTATAGAGACACTGTAGGAGTAAACAGTCCGGTATAAACATGTAATATTATTTCATGAATCAAAAGCAAAAAAGCATCCCTGACGTACATGACATCGAGATTCGTCCCCGAGTTGTGGAGGGCGCCAATAATGGTGTCCAGTTGATCATCTCCGAACTCTCCCCCCAGGTCCGACAGCAGGATGACACGCTTCGAGGCAAACCCTCTCTTACCTCTGAAACAACACAGGTAACACCAACATTAAATGGAGCTTTCCACACACAAACGATCATACCCTGAAACCTTACGGTCTTGAATGAGTGAGTATTGTTTTTACACCGCTTTTAGCAATATTCCAGCAACATTGCAGCGGGGGACACCAGAAATGGACTTCACACATTGTACCGATGCAGGGAATCGAAACCCGGTTCTTCAGCATGACAAGCAAATGTTTTTAATCACTAGGCTACCCCACTGCCCCCTATGGTCACAAGGTGCTCCAATAATATCAAGCTATCATTGGTCAAGGTTTCAAAAGTAACCCATGACATGGTGCAGAATAGTCCACCAAGTACCTCATGCATGTGACCTAAACCTTTCATGGGTGGTCGCTATGTGTGATCATGTGTCACCCTGCCCAGATGGTGAGGTGAGGTGAAATGGGGTTTAATGTCACGTCCAAGATTATTGCACTTACATAGCGACGTGCATGCACATGTGTGTGTGTGTGTGGCTGCTTGTACTAGTCTGGACTGATGCCGATTTATAGTGCAAGCACACCGAGATACCATGCCGCAGTTTAACATGAATACCCTACACAGACACAGTATACTGACTCCGAGCCGACCAGTCCTTGTTTTAGCCCCTTAATGCCGAGCGCCAGACAGGGTAACAACAAGTACCATCTTTTAACGTCTTTTGGTATGATGCGGCCGGGGATCAAACCCCGGACCTTCCGCTCTCCAGACGGACGGACGGAGGCTGTCTCTGCCCAGATGGAGTGAATCTCTGTTCATAATGTCGACCTCTCACAAGACTTGATTATTTACAGGTCTCTGTGACACAGCTCGAATATTGCTGACAGCGGTGAAAAAGAACCAAAGTTTTGTCAAAGTGGATAAAGTGCGTTTAGTAATTTTAGCTGCATCCGCAATCTCATACTCACAGAGCATGCTACAGTGAAACAAATATAACTATAGTCATAATCTCTCATATGCTAATAGCTAAAGAAAATCATTTATAGAGGTAAACATGCATTTGTGTGAGATTCTGTAAGCTACTGGTTGTCTGTGTTTCATTAGCACTCTACCAGCCACCCACAGCAGTTGCAGGCAAGGTTTCTCACATCAACGTGACAAGACAAGTGCATATTTCACTGTACCATGAATAAATTAAAATTTTAACCAAGGCACATAGATCACAACATATGTCCACTAACATGTACATGTTCATATAACATCAACATCGTCCAATGACTGGTAGCCATGTGTAACAGTGATGCTAGGCCTAACAAAGGGTCTGACTCGCGTACACCTTACGTCCTCTAGTGACCACTGGTGCTTAGACATACTGAGATGACATAATGTTATGAATCTGCCACATGTTAATGGCCTCCTTAAGGGGAGCAGATAATTCCTATTTTGTTGCTATCATTATTCAGGAGAGTGCAGAGTTATTTCCCCTGGTCACATCATCACAAAGCTCCTTCCCAGCGTGTGACACCTTCGTTACACTCTCGGTAACATCGCTGCCACCAGTGTGGGCGCGGCCATTACACGAATCTTGAAATTTGCCCTCTAACCCCAAATGTAGCAATGTTTATACTTTTGTTTATATCTTTGGGAATGCCATCATATTTCATTTCGAAAAGGATTACGACTGACCATGTTTTCCAGCTGAATTTACTTTGTTGTTTTAATAATCAGATTGGTTCGAGATTGCAGACTAACGGAAAATCAACCAACTTCTCCCTTACACTCTTACTATATCAATAACAAGATAATTTTAATGAAACAGAAATTCAAACTGACAAAGAAAGAAAGTAATTTAGCAGCGATAAGTGTATTCGGCGCCACGACAGTCCTCACTTGTTTGTAAACATAACGGTCATTCAGTTGCAAGTTCAACTCCAAGCATGGTTGTGGCCACCTATCACAGTGGGGAGTTATGACTGGTGGCAGCGATAGTATAGACAGCTCCGCGAATGGGCTATTGCTGCGAGGAGCTTGCATCATCACATTCAATAAATGAAATTGAAATTAATGAGGGTATAGTAATAGATGTTTGTTGTTATTTACTGAACTAGGCACAACATGGTAATTGTACTTACTGTATTCCCTGGACAAGATGATCCATGGCAACAACCAGTGCATCCAGGACTGTAGTTACTAAGGAAGATAACTCTTCATGACAGAATCAAACTACTGTGGCTGCAAATAGGCCTGCTGCAGCCAAAGTGTCTTTATACCTACTACTACTGTTGTTGCATATGCTGCTGCTACGGCTAAACCATTATTATCATCCGAATTGCTACTACCAGTTTCTTTTCTTTTTTAAATTGATATTTTTTATTCCTGTATCTCTGTTACATATGTATCTCTGTAGCCAGCGGAACTACAGAGATAAACATGATTGAACAAAAACCTTGAAGAACTTATAATCAAGATACAGGTCTCGTTTCTTTGGGAGTTTTTTTACAAGACAACACAAAGACAGTATTCACTCACCATTCACACATATAAGATCAGGGATAGTTCAAAACATTATAAAACATTATAATAATAAAGTGGTAATTAGTACAGTGTTTGCATTGGTCTCCAAAATAATGGGATCTCCTTGGATGCGTAAGCCGCAAGCCGCAAGCCGCAAGCCACAAGCCGCAAGCCGCCAGCCGCACAGGCATGAAGCTATCTAGGGGGGTTTGGGTGCATGACCCCACCATGTCATTTTTCCAATGTAGACCTGAAATGTTTAAGTGTCTGTTTTTTATGTGTGTATCACATGGATTTTGGGAGGCAAGAGAAACCATAACAAAACAACTATAAGTTATGCATAAGGTAAACTTTTTCTCAAAATGAAAAACACATAAGAGGATGGGCTTGCGTCCCAGTTTATTACAGTGCATATTTTTGTATATGGGATGCCGCATATGCCTACATTGTAGTATGTGTTCTTATTCGAATAAAACATGATACATTTCCCATTTAGTTTTAAACAAAATAAACCCATTTTTACCAAAATGATAGTTCCTTTCAATATAGTATCTCATTTTTAAATTATTCTTAAAATGTACAAGGCATGGTAGATCATTTTTTATCTTACATTTGTACAAGAAATATTTTGATGAGATGATGAAGAGATCAAACACAGCATCAGTCATGACATCCTTTTTACAACCAAAAGTATTAATTCTAATGTAAGATTAAGGTTATGAATGTGATTACATCCTCTTGACAACCATGTCATAAACTGTGACCAGAAAGTTTGAACAAAGTCACAATCCCAAAAGGGGCGGTCGGGTAGCCTAGTGGTTAAAGCGTTCGCTCGTCACGCCGAAGACCTGGGTTCGATTCCCGACATGGGTACAATGTGTGAAGCCCATTTCCGGTGTTCCCCGCCGTGATATTGCTGGAATATTGCTAAAAGCGGCGTAAAACCATACTCACTTACTCACAATCCCAAAACATGTGTGAGATAGACTCTCTCTCTTCATTACAAAACGAACATTAATCAGAGTCCTTAATTTGATTTTGCAGAGACAAATATTAGTTGTCAAAATCCTGTGGGTTATCCTGAATTGAAACCACCCCAGTTTTGTTTCCTGCCTTGATTAAAGGGATTGGAGAAATTACAATGCCATTCAAGATCAGATAAGAACTCAGCTTACCACTTAGATTTAGCAATACAATTACCTTCAGATGAGCATAGAGTATTATAATATGCTTTTGAACCTTTCTTTACAGGACAAAGCAATATATGTATGCATTCTTATTGTCTGCATTAGCTCCATTCAAAATAAAACAACTCCAATTTGTGAAACAGAACTATTATACAAAAACCTATCATTGTGAGTTCAAATCCAAGTTTGCCCCAATTATATTTTAGGTTTGTCAGCGCCATAGTGGGTGTCACCAAAAGTGGTAAACGTCTGAGGCCTGCATTACTGCGGGTGATCCCTCAAGCTGACATGCCGTGACATAGCTGGAATACTGTTCAAAACGGCGTTAAACCCAACTCACTCACTCACTCACTCACTCACTCACTCAAGAGAATGACTGGACTTTTGAAGGGATACAGTCGGCTGCTGTGTCCGAGGGCTGAATCTCATCCTTCACCTGCTGGAGCAGGTCAAAGTCCGCGACCCCAATAGGTCTGGCGATGGTGATGTTTTGGTAGCTATCTCCATCAGCCAGGGGGTTGTCCGTGCCATCAGTACCAAACAGAACCAGAGCCACCTCATCCTTAGACTCGGAGAACATCTGCAACAACATAATTGTTTGTTTGTTGTTTAACGCCACACTAAGCAATATTCCAGCTATATGACGGCAGTCTGTAATAATCCAAATCTGGACCAAGAAAATCCAGTGATTGACATCATGAAGATAGATCTACGCAAATGGTATGCGATGACGATATTATGTCAGCGAGCATGACCACCCAATCCCATTAGTCGCCTCTTACAACAAGCATGGGTTGCTGAAGACCAATTCTAACCCGTATCTTAACAGGTACTGAAACAACAAGTATATGAAAGTCTAAGTAGTACTTTTACATGTTGACAACATTGGTAGATTTCTATCCATTCACCAGATGAACGGTTTTCAATCTGATCTATCGCTGATCCATTTTGACTTATAGTTATCCATTTTGATAAATGGGCTGTTATGACCAGATAGTCAGGTCTGTTTTGCTGGATCCATTTTTAAAATGGATCCAGCAATACACGAGGAAGATATTATCCCAGTCAGCATTCAATATATAGTTGACGTACCTTCCTCTGGAGGATCATGGTGATGGCATCGATGGCCGTCTGCAGCGCGGACACCTCCCCCGGCGGTGCCTGATTCATTGAGGGGCCCACATCCAGCACAATAGCTATGGCTTCCTGAAAGTAGTATTTCTACATGTCATTTCTTGAGGTGGAATGATTCACCAAATACATCAATGTATCATGATACATTATAAGTTGTAGCAGGATCACGGGGGGTACATGGAGTTTATGTGTTATCGCGTTAGGCATCTTCCCAAGGCAAGGGAGTTAACTGATTTTAAAAGTCCAGTTTCAACCCTTGCTGAACTAGGCTAGTATTTTGGAGTTCTACTTTGACTGGACTAATTAGTCTATGCATTGTCCAATCAAAATCACGTAACAAAATCAATAGGGATGTCACGATTCACTGATTGTACTGATGCATCCTAGATAATTCTCACGATACAGTACAAGATACATGTTAATTTATATCAATATGAAATTTTATTGAAATCGGTATCCATTTGTTCGCGTATCGATTGATTTTTCTTTTTGAATCAAAATGTCACCATATTTTCTGAATTTTCTGAAAATATGCTTGTTTTCATTGGCTACTGAAGTATTATTGACCAATCAGAGACAGCAGTTCATCATAGTGTCTGTCACAGCGCATGCAGACGACATCATGGAGTTCTCGGAGACAGAATTTGAAGACCCGACGGGGAAGTTTAAGTTTCCGCTGTTCTATGAAGATGGTGTAAGAAAAGTTTGTCGCAAAAGGACTGTTTGTCAACTGTGTAAAACGCACATTTCCTACACAGGTAGCACAACCAACATGAACTTTCACTAACAAAGGCACCATCCATCTGCATAGATCGGCGCAACTCCAAGCCCTAGCACTAGTTGAAAGAAACCTTGTAAGAGACCAGCAACCGGTCAAGGTTCAATTTTAGATTCATTTTCGAAACTTAGCCAGAATTCAGAACAATACAAGCAAGTAACTAAACACGTAGCCTTATATATTGCACTGGATTTAAAACCCTTTTTAAACAGTTGAAAATGAAGCATTTATTAAAAGTAGCTCATGCAAGTATCACCATAGCTGACTAATACATGATTTGATTGTGCTGAAGTTCAGTTTGATATTGAGTTAATAATGATGTATGGTTACTATATTGTTTCCCCAAGATGTGGTCACAAGTGACATGATGCAATTGAACACTTTCATTCATTTAAATGACATCAAACAAATGTGGGACTGTAATCACTTTTCAGCATTTATTTCATGAAAATACATTTTAAGTGCAACTTAACTTGCTAGTGTCTGACACTTGTTTGAATGAACAGAATCAACCTTTTCTAAGTATTATAATTTTACAAAATAATTTACTGATAGTGATTAAAACACAAAATTGTGAATGTGATATGTACTTTTAAAAGTTTGCTTCTAAAAGGTCGGCATTGCTGTATCAAGATACGTATTGTATCTTGACCTCAAAATCAATACACGTATCGTATCGTGAGGTACCTGTATCGTGACACCCCTAGAAATCAACATCAGGTTCGATTGCAGGATTTGCAAAGCTTGTGCACCGACAACTCGGAGTCAACAGATATTTTCCAAATATTATAATGTTTTTATTCAAGGTGCACAAATGATTTGATGTACCTCGCGATGTAAAACCCGTTTTATTACAATACAGATCTTGATCATTGATCAGATAGTCTTGACTGCAGGCTGCCATTTTGTTTGAAGCAAATCCAAGTGATATGAGAGGTGGAATCTGATTGGTCAAAAGGTTTTGGTTTGTTTTGTTGTTTAACACCGCACTCAGCAATATTCCAGCTATATGACGGCGGTCTGTAAATAATGGAGTCTGGACCAGACAATCCAGTGATTAATATCATGAGCATCCATCCACGCAATTGGGATCAATGACATGCATCAACCAAGTCAGCGAGTCTGACCACCCGATCCCGTTAGTCGCCTTTTACGACAAGCATGGGTTGCTGAAGACCTATTCTACCCCGGATCTTCACGGGTCTGGTCAAAAGGAGAGGCATAGAAGAGATATAACTAGTAATATCCACTGGTTGCGCTATGATCGAGCCCAGAAATTCCAACCTAGTTCAGCAAGGGTGGAAACTTGCCGGAGGTGAGGGGTATAAAACCTAATGCAAGAGGCAAAAACATACATATACACCAAGTGATCCTGCTACAAGGAATTAATCTTACTGACATGTTTTAATATAACATTGTAAAAGAATTCAAACAAATTCAAAATTGATAGAAAACAGCTGTTCGATTGAACTGAGGTTAGCTTGTGCTGTGTCACGTGACTTCCATTGACTCGGAAAAGGTGTGGCCTTTTACTTTGAAAGGGGTATAAAGGATTTATTATTCCTCTCAGAAATCCACTTGCAGCCTGACTTGCTTGTGGCAGGGTCTAAGACATTTATTGCCTTGCTGAGACATTTATTCCCCTCCAAGGTGGGATACACAGTATTTAATCAAGATGACATGGACCAATCAGATCTCATTATTCTGACATGGGGGTATGATAATAAGTTCTGATACAATTGTTGCATCTAAGTCAGCGGAATGTAACAAAAAGGTATGTCCCTGAGTTACTGGTATTATTGTGTAATCATGAGCATTCCTATATAGTGATATTTATTATATCGTGACCCTATTATTGCATTGTGTCTTAGCATGAATCGTGACTGTATGATCCCAGGTAAGCTAACTCTATATTTGTTGGCTGAATACAAATATCATTATCAAACATATGAACATAAAATAACCTGAAATGCAAATATTATATTATGCGTTACATTTTACAGATGTTTAGCCTGTATCCCCTAATTTGTGAAATATCAGCTGAGAGAAAACGGTAAACATTGTCGTCGTAAACACTGAAAAAGCCGAACGTTTACAGATGTTTGGTAAACACATGGCAAGTAATCAATCATAACATAAAGTTGCTTAAATCAAAGGTACTTTGCAATATTTAAAAGAATACTCTGTAACTAAACAATTAAAAAAGCATTCATCGTGATATAACGAAATTACAAGAACGTGGATGACACATATCCTAGGTAGATAAAAACAAGGTAATGTTTAGGCGAATGGCAACGATGACTGTGGCTAAGGTAAATATAAATATTATTGTATTGATTTAAGTGAATGTCATTTGCAATCAAACGGTATCTTCTTCAACATCGGCATGTTTAAATTTCACTATGCGAAAATGTAGCACCTTGTTTGCCGCCATCTCTAAACACGATCAAGGGGAGATAATTATGTGGTATCAGCATTTATCTGTTTGGGGCTGTCATGTCACAAGTACACGTTCGAATTGCGCAATTTCTTTCAGATCTACGTCAGCGTTATTTATTTCAGCTGAATTAAATATTTTCAATGCTGATTTGTTTCAGAAAATGTTATGTAACAGTGAAAAAGATGTTTCGCGGTCTGGTGCCCTGTCTGAAATCGAATTGCCTGCCGTTTCGTCTCGAATTCTTCAATGGAAAGACCATTCTTAACAAGATATAACGTTGATTATCAATAGCATGGAAGAACAAGATGGTATATTATGCTCTTATGGATATGAATGTATTCTAAGCTTGCGTTTCCTGAGAAATCTTTCACAGATTTTTATTTTTTAAATCCATATGTTTTTAATAAACCACACAAGTGTATTCCCTATCAGTAAATCCTTGTGTTGAGGCTAAAAGTGGGGTTTAACAGTCAGTGACATATGAATAAAGTTTCTTCAGTACGATTTCAATAAGTTACATACACGTAGTCTTTTATCAATACATATGCACCTGGCAAAGAGTAAGGCACAGCTAACTAGTGTTGTCGCATTTGCAGTGTCAATGAAGGCAGTTGACTTGTGGTTCAACGTTTATATTATTTCCAGTGGGACGACAACGTCATGTGTTGATACTGGAAAGTCGAGGACAATTTTGCCATGTTGAAGACCAAGACTCCGCCATCCTACTTGAACTTCGCAAATTCCACTTAACAACAACTCACGATGAAAATCTCAATAAACAGCACCACTGGAAATGGTGGTGGTGGTGGTGGTGGAGGAGGGAAGGGGTGGTGGTGGTGGTTGGCGGTGGTGGTGGTGGGATCTTTGTTTGGGTTTGAGGGTCGTCAAAGCATGAGGATTAAAAGCGTTCTTTCGGGAGAGATGGGTGGCCCTGAAATGGGCCGTTTTGGGGAAGAAGTCGATCACTTCTTCATCCACATACACACAGTGGTGCAAAGGCACGGGTGGGCTGTTATCTTTCGTCTCACAGGAGACTTGCTAGTGTGAGTTAAACGCTTCATGTACGTGTCCTTCAAGATGGTATAACAATACACGCACTGGAATGTTCCATCCCGTGCCTTTGTCCCAAAAGCGTAGACTGGCCTACACCCTTGGCACTTGTCGCATTGCCATGGAGGAGGGGCAGGCAATGCTTCTGTCTCCAACTCCGAGCAACACCCTTTGCACAGTGGCAAAGGGTGTGCAACTGGAGTCAACTTAAAGTCCCAGTTTTCTGCATTATTTTGCATACTGCTGTTGCTGATGATGATTTTCTTTTTTCACAAGAGACACGGATCCACTCGAATGGTTGTTCTCTTGTTTTATAGGAAAGGGACTGACACCCTGCTTCCTGGTTGGTTCGTCACGCAGCGCCCCCCCCCCCCCCCCGATTGGTTCGTTCTGGTGCCTGGCCTGCACCTCAGTTTTTCAAAACGGACCGACCCCTGTGTTTCTTTTCCATAGGAAATGGATTTTACCATGGGAGAGAAAGCACAACCCCAGTTCGACCAATCAGAGCCCACCATGGTCCGAGCGCGCCCTCTGATTGGTCGACAACCCAGGCTTCTGATTGGTCAGATTTCGATCCGTTTTTTTTTTCTTGGGTAGTCTTGGTATTTTTTAGGTAGACGGTCGTCTGAATGCTAAAGGTGGACCGTCATAGGTAGACATGAACGTGATGTGTGAATGCCTACGTGATGTACGTTGTGTCACTCCCATGCAAATCGTGATGTCGTGTGTGTCTTCAAACAGACGTTTACGTTGATCCATAGAATTATAGGATTATTATTTATACCGAGGAGTTGGCACATGTGTATGCCTACAGGCGTTCTACCATTTGTGTTACCATGCACACGTGATGTACTTCACGTCTCTTTGCAAACGTAGTGTTTCACCCGTGTCTTTATGCAAAACGTGATGTCATGTGTGTGTCTTCAAACAGACGTTGATCCATATAATAATGACGTTGTCACTCGTTTATTTATACCGAGGTGTTGACACTCGTGTAGGTCTACAGGCGTACTGTCACACGTGTTTCCATGCACACGTGATGTTTGACTCGTGTCCCCATGTCTCTATGCAAACGTAGTGTCAAACGTGTATTTATATATATATATTTATTTTATTTTGAGACGTACAATTGTGGTGTCATGTGTAGGCGTGTGCCTCCAAGAGGACTGGGGAGTGTGTGGGTTCTTTGTTTTGGATTGTTGTTTGGGTTGGCAAAGCAAAGGATGAAAATTGTCTTTCGGGAGAGATGGGTGGCCCTGAAAAGGGCCGTTTTGAAGAAGAAAAACTTTTCTGCTGCTGTCAAAGAAGAAGACAAGGATCGTCGAAGCGGAACTTGCTGCCATCTGGGTATGCCATCTGGGTATGCCATCTGGGTATACCGTCTGGGTGCCCTACGTGGCTTGTTGGTAACAGGAAGCGGTAATAGTCATGAACAGGAACTTGAACGGGAACAGGAACGCAGGAAACGGGAAACGTCCTCCTAGGCAGCCGGCCATGCTATGCCATTCGTGTTCTTCTGATTCACATTCTCCTCGCAGAGATAGTGTAGCTGTAGCTTCTTCTTATGTCTCACCAGACCGGTTAGTTTGAGGTAGTCGCAGTGTGGGGACCACTTGTGGTGTTCCACCAATGGATCGTCATGGGACGCCCATTGTCTCAGCCGCACACCACATTGGAAACAGTACACGCCATCGGCACCCTGAGTGTAGACAAAGCCCGCATGGGCCATCTCTTCAGCAGTCTGATACATTTGCGTCGGCCATGCCTCAAACGAAGCGAGCCTTCTTTCAAAGCGTAGATAATAGGGCGATGGTGTGTTACTGAGCGGCAACATCTTATCATCAGCATCCGTACTCTTACTCCAGCATCCACGAGTATCTGCACTATCAGTCACCATATCTCCGTCACACGTCGTCGTACAACTCTTTTTTTGTCTCAGCCATTCTTGATGCGATGATGATGATTTTCTTTGTTCACAAGTGACACTGACCTATTTGAGTGGCTGTTCTCTTGTTTTATAGGAGAAGAACCGGACCGAAAATCGCTGCTTCCTGATGGGTCCAAAACACAGTGTGCTGATTGGTCCATTCCGGTGCCTGGCCTGCACCTCAGTTTTCTAAAACGACCTGACCCTTGTGTTTCTTTTCCATAGGAAATGTTTTTTTTTCCATGGGAGAGAAAGCACAACTCGGCTCGGGTGCTGTCTTCTGATTGGTCGGTGCTGTCTTCTGATTGGTCGACAACCCAAGCCTCTGATTGGTCAGATTTCAATCCTGTTTTGGGGAAGGGTTGTCTATAAGTCAGACGTTCAGTCAATCTTATAGTACAGACGTTCATCAGACAGGCATCGCTATCATGACGAGCAACCAAAGTAAGCCTTATCGTTTGGAGAGGAAAGACACCACACGCTCTAGACGATTAAGAACTGCTAACCATACCTATCGTTTGACTTTCAACCCAGACTACTTGGACACTGACCACCCGACCGCGTTCCCATTGAACTGCCGGCATTATTTGAAAGAGTGATCGATGACTTTTATCAACAGATGTCAGGCAAGAAGGGAGATCGTATTGGTCTAGGTATCGATCATCCCGCTTTGAACACTCCCATACGGATTCCCTTTCGTCGCTTTGAAGATCTCCATGGACTAAATATTTTACATGCCGTGGTAAAAGTTCAACAGTCCAACAAAGACCTGAACACCGATGCCACGATGGTTGTGACTTTAGTACACGTAGCAGATCCCGACAGGCTAGGATCGGGCAGCGGCCGTTTGAAAAACGTGATTGGACTTGAAGCCTTTTTAACACGCAAACAAGGGGTTGTACAGATCAAAACGAAGATCAATCCTGTTTGGCACGGGCCCTGGTGGTGGCACAGCATTATGCCCAGAAGCCCAACCCTCTGACCCCAGAATGGGAAACCCAGCAAAAGAGATTGACGAGAACGGATTGAGTCGATGTTCAAGGCATACGGGCACGGGACTTGTTTCGACGTCTTGGCCTGCCTGAAGGTCCCTGTCAGGGCCTGGACGACCTAGCACGCGTGGGACGCGCCTTGGCCCACCTGAATTATCAACTGAAAGTCTACAGTCAAGAGGTGGACCAGAGACTGTTGTACAAGTGTGATGAGGCTCCACCCAACGCCACCGTGCTGCATTTATACCATCATGATCAGCACTACGATGTGGTCACTTCCATGCCAGCTTTTTATGCGTCTAAACATTACTGCGAACACTGCGACCACCGTTACGACCATCCCAAAACCCATCCCTGCACCAAGAAATACTGCTGCCACCGCTGCCTCCACTCTAGCTATTGCGGACCCAAGGAATATCACGGGATCCCTTGCTTTACATGTCAACGCTGGTTCCCAAATCAACACTGTTACACTCAACATCTCAAGTCACCGTCAGAGGGAAAACCCAGCGCCTGTCAATCGATTCACAGGTGCCCAACCTGTTTTCAGCTGGTCCACGTCTTGGAGACCCCCATGGCTCACCACGAGTGCTCAGATGAAGAACATCCCTGCTTAGAGTGTCGAGAACTCATGACCCCAGACCATCGCTGTTACATGACACCCCTCCGTGAAGCCCACGAGGAAGAGGAGGAGGAGGAAGAGGAACAACATCACATACGAGACAACATCAAATACGCCTCTATGATTTTGAATGCATGCAAGACACGGGGGAACACATTCCAAATTTGTGCGTGGAGCAGTTAGGATGTGGACGATGTATCAGTGAAGTGAGCAAGGAGTTGTGCGAACACTGTCCATGGAGAGAAGAAGGTTATGGCCCCAGCCGTGAGATCATGTTTCGAGGCCCCACCACGCGTCATGATGTGTGTGTGTGGTTGACAACGCTGGCTGAAAAACCCAAGAAGAAGAAGAACCAAGAGGAAGAGGAGGACAGCACACGCAAGGGAACAACAGCACACCCATGCAAAAGAAAACG